ATTAAAAAGCTGTTCCTTGTCACATGGAGATTGGGGATTCCTATGTAAAACAGTTTTAAAAATTGGGAATAATTCAAATACATACAAGTATTAGTTGCTCAGTCGTATCCGACTCTGTGTGACCCCATGGACTGTAGCCCACCAGGCTCCTCTATCCATGGAATTCTCCAGGCAAGAATACTGGAGTGTGTTGCCAAAATTGGGAATAAAGACAAACCCAAAGAGGAAAATAAAAGTCACTTGTCATCCCACAGCCCAGAGATAACCACCCTTAATTTATTATTTTTCAGAAGTTCCTTCTTCTCTTAGACACAAAACCTACTAATATATGATAAACTCATTTGGTTTTTAGGGTCATAACTTGTCCAGTCTAATAATTATTTTGGTGGAAATGTGGAGATCTCAGGATCCAAATGCAACATTGAGGTTCAGACTCATAAAGAAGGCTAATAGACACATCCTATGTCTGTTAAAGGAGCCTTTAAAATTTTTTTGTTGTTATATAACCTTGTAGGGAGAAGGAAATGGCAACCCACTCCAGTGTTCTTGCCTGGAGAATCCCGGGGACGGAGGAGCCTGGTGGGCTGCCATCTATGGGCTCGCACATACTCGGACACGACTGAGGCGACTTAGCAGCAGCAGAAGCATATAACCTTGTATTTAATTTTTCTTCTAATTGATTGTGTGACCTTCAGAAAGGCTTATTTCAGGAACAAATAAGAAACATGCTTGGTCAGTTTAAACTTATAAGGTTACAGCAGCTGCCCAGATCTTCAGCAGATGACAGGATATTCTACTGTCAGCGGGTGTTGCTGTGGGTCGTACAACAGATTCACCAGCCTGAGACTAAGTCTATTTTTTTTCTTATCAGCTCCAGGATCAGGGAGCTAATCTTTAATCCTGGATTACAGTCAACCAAAGGCTAGTAGCACATGTAACAGATGTGTCCCTGCATTTGGTATTATGAGGAAATTTCACTCGATTAAAAAAGTTTTAATGATATCTTCATCTCCCATTTAGTATGTTGGTGGTTAAGTGCAAGTAAAGTAGTATGTAGAATTGAAATCTTTTATTGCCAAATAGTTCCCAGTCTCAGAGCAAGTATTATTACAGACTTGTCTAGATAAACAAAGGAGAACTTATATGTTAAAGTGAGTGGGCTTGTGGCTTTTCCTCAGCCCTAGGGATCATGATGGGTATTGGAATTAAGATTGTAGTCATAGTGATGAATCAGAGAGAAGATAAAAGCCAGGGAAGAGTACCAATGGGACAGATATAAAAGCAGTGGAAAGTCTGGGACTAGCCCTGGAGGGAGCCTAGCCAGTTTCCAGCATAATGACATTAGTTATCTTGCTTCTCAGTGATGTAGACCCCCAGTTTGTACATTCTTGTTGCTGACATTCTTTTTGCTGCCATTTTCCTGTTCCTTGGCTCCCTACTAGGTATTGATCAGGACATTGGAATTGGACAGAGAGAACAAAATGCCATGAATCAGTTTTCCTTCTGGGAATCAGCTCTAGTAGAAACAATTGACAGAAAGGTGGTTGAAGTATTACTTTACACTCTGTGTTCCTGAATTACCAATGCTGTCCCCTTTATTTTTCCATGGATAATTAAGATTTGGTTGAACATAGATGAATTAACACAGGTATGAGCTACTGTTGGTCAAGAAAATTTTTATTATTTATTATAAATTCAACCTTTGATATTTGAGTGCCAAATATTTTTATCATTTATATTTCTTTTATTTTATAATTGAAGTATAATTTACAATATTATATTGGTTTCAGGTGTACAACATAGTGATTCAGTATTTTTATATATTTATTCTATTTAAAGTTATAAAATATTGGCTATATTCCTTGTGCTGTACAATATATCCTTGTAGATTATTTACTTTATGCATAGAAGATTTGTGCCAGTTAATCCCCTACCCATATCTTGCTCCTCCCTCCTATCAATTGTATTTTAATAATTCATTTATTTCTTATTTTATAAAAAAACCAAATAATAGGAATTATTTCTAAAATATATAGTAAGTTACAATGTAAACATTATAAAATGATGTGAAAAGAAAGGATTATTTAACAAATTTTTAAAAAACACTGAATAACAATATGAAAAAATTAGTTTGCATTAGTTCTCACATCCTAGAACAAATTAAGCTTGAGATGCAAAGGTTAAGCTTAAAAAATCAACTATAGATCACTCTTAGAAGATAGATTACACAGTGGAAGAAATCACAAAGCAAATTACAGGCAACTATAAAAGTATTTTGTTTAAAACATGACATTAAAAGAAAAATGCTTTTGTAAGAAGTCTCTTCATATGTATCAAATAGAAACCTCCTTCAAGTTTATGAGAACTGCAAACCCAAGTAAATAAATGGACAAGGGGTAAATTTGATAATTCATACAAAGAAGATGTATTAAACAAATGTGGAAAAAGCATTCTACATCACTGGCAATTAAAATAATGCACACTTATAAAACACTATATCTAATTAATTTAGCACCAAAAATTAATTGGCAATAGTCATTGCTGGCAAAGTTGTAGTAAAAGAGACTTATGCTTTACTAATGTCAGCAAAAACTTGCAGAATTCTTTTGGATAGCAATTTGCAATGTATACCAAGAACCAGGAAATTATACTCTTTAATCTAAGGATTGAATGTAAGAAATAATATAAAGAAAAGAAGTATCAGATTTAAATTAGCAAACAAAAAAATAGAGACACTTAAGTACTATGAAAGGTAAGAGGATACAGTAAACAGCTGTTAATCTTATAAATAAAAACTGTAAATATATGGGGAATACATAATACATGAAAAAATAGAAAAAATTGTACATCACATACACTTTTACATAACTATATGCATATAAACAAAGACTAAAATAAGATAAAAACAGAATATGGGTTGGGATTTCAGATAAAATATATGCTTTTCTGTTTCTAGTATTTTCTAATGTTTTCTAGTACCTAACAGTAAATAAAGATTGAGTAAATAGAGAAAAACAGTTAAAGATTGTCTAATTTTAGTAATTATGTATTAAAAATTAGAGTAACCTAAATTTTTATAGAGTTATTTGGAAAAATATTGCCCAGTTATGCTCTTGCTCAAAATCCAGTGCTAGTACTTAGCCTCCAGAATGGTCAAAATGACACTGTGTTCAGTTCTTTACTGGACCATTAATGAGTAACTCTTTCAGTATACCTGGGTCCCATGTGTGCCACACGAATAAGCCTATGAGGATGAAAATTCTTAGATGCCATAAAGATAACTTAGAGCAGTCAAGACTGTAACTTACTGTTTCCACCCAAATTTTACATGGTATTGTTTGTTCCTTTGGTGATTTCATATTTGTGAGCTATTTATGTTTTAGAGAGGTTTGTTTCTGCAGAGCATCTATTCAGTTTCAGTAGAGCAGAAACCTTAATGCTGGTCATACCACAAGAATGGGACAAATGCCCATGCTATTAATCTCCCTCACTGTAATTTTTTCTGCACTATGTAGTATTACATTTGGAAGGTCATGTTTTAACCATTGTAACAAGAAAACACCTTTTATTAAGAATCTGTGGAATTTCTTTTCTCTCGAAGTAGAGAAAACTAGGAGAAAGAGAAATGTAGTTCCCTTCCAGTCTTTCTGCTTTTGCTTCATCAACATAGTAGTGAGTTGATTTACTTTCAAGACGAGAATATCTTCAAAGCTGATTCAACACTACTTAGTTCAGTGTTCTGTAAACTGTAGCCTTTAAGTGATTGGTGATCTGACAAGAATCTCTCATAACCTTTAGCATTGTCATCATCTTCTCCTCACTTCACGGGGCTCCTAGCTCTTTGATGTTCATTTCTGTCCAGTGCAGCGATAATGCACTGGCAGAAAGGATAATCAATGGATTATAGTCTTCTTTTCAAGTTTCATGAAATTAAAGCACATATTGATTGAATTTTTTATCTATTTTAAATAGTATTTTATTCACTATAGAAGTAATATATGCTGAAAGTTACAGTATTATAAATCAACTATACTTCAATAAAATAAAAGTAATATAGGCTTATGGTTTAAATTTTTTAATACAGAAAAGGATAAATGACATAACATGAATCATCAATAATGCCACCACTTAGAGATGACCCCTGTTACATTTTTGGTGCAAACAGAAATTAAACTTTAAGAGAAACTGGCAAATACTGCATCTATATGTGTAAATTTATCAAGACTAATAAATAACCCTTTCTTTCAATTACTTCAAGAGAGGGAACGTGGTATAGCAGAAAAAACATTGTCCCTGGACTCAACCCACTTCCAAGGTCTTTGGCCCTGTTTTGCCACTTACCAATTTTATGACTTTCAGTTGTTTAAGGCCTGGTTACCCTATGCCTTAGTTTTCTCATTTTTAAGTAACCGTGATATGGCCAGACTTGTAGGATTGTTGTAAGAATTAAATATATGACAGACCTAAAACACTCTGCTAGTGTCTGGCATATAGTAAGTACTAAATAAAAGGTAAATACTAATTTAATTGTTATACATCATTAGGTCCTCAGGAGAGTATCACTGAAAATGCATTCAACAAGGATTAACTGAGCACCTGCACTAGAAATTCAGAGAGGAATAAAGCAACACTTGTAATGGGTAATAAGGTAGGGATAATGATGTAGAGACAGGTGAACTGACTGAACATGCAAGCTTCAAGTGAGGAGGTGAGGCTGTGGGAGTGTCAGAATGTGTTTTGTTTGGAGATGATTATATTGGAGATTTCCCATCTGCAGGATTTCACTGGTTAAAAATCTGTACAAACTAATACATGTGAATATCTCTATGATATCAAGACCCATAGAAAAGTTCCATCTTTTAGCAAGTTACCAGGTGAGAGACAAAAGTTGAGGTCATTCTAGGTGATGGTGAAATTGGTCCCTGCAGAGTGGCCTTGTAGAATGGCCCCTGAGCAGATTCCAGGATCTCTTTATGCTTGTTTCTCACTTGTGTGCCTAGATACTTGGGAAGTGCCATTTGAGGAGATCTCAGAGCTGCAGTGGCTGGGTAGTGGAGCCCAGGGAGCTGTCTTCTTGGGCAAGTTCCGAGCGGAGGAGGTGGCCATCAAGAAAGTGAGAGAACAGAATGAGACGGATATCAAGCATTTGAGGAAGTTGAAGCACCCTAACATCATCGCTTTCAAGTAGGTCAAGGCTTTTTTTTTTTTTTAATTAAAGAAATAGATTTTCTTTCCCTCAGTACATACATGTAAGTTCCTGACTTAAAAGACATGTTAAGAATACTCTACAGACTTAGCAATGTGCTAGGTGCTTTGGGAGGATACCAAGGAACTATTACATTAGAATTATGTTTTTGAGAATTTGATAGTCTAATAGCTCTTTTTGCCAGAGCACACAGTACTTGGAAGGGAGGGAGATACATGGGACAGAGAGGGAGAAGGTGAACTCCTGCCATGCAGTCAGATCTGCTAAATCAATGTAATTTATCAATAGCGTAACAGAGGCCTCTTCAAGATAACCTGAACACCTTCAAGTTCAATTAAGAAAACAAAGCTAGCATCTGAAGTGATCAGAGAACAATTAGTTCCTTGTAAATAGGGGTGTGTTTTCTTTAGTGTCTCTTCTGAAATATCAACTTGTAGTACAGGTACCTTCAGAATATTTCTCCCTGCCTCAGGTTTTGCCAGATTCCTTTTCAAGGAATGCCAAAACTGGCTTTCTAAATCTAATAATAGAATTCGTGATTATAGTAAATCAAATGATACATTTATTTCACAAAGTGGTTGTTTTCAAGAGAGTGTGGACATATATTTCTAGTTTAGACCCTTATTTTCATAATGTTGACAGGGATCCTCAGAAGTAAATTTGTGGAAGGCGCCAGATTTGGTAGTGCCAAGAAGACTATGTGCTTTATGGGCTTTCCTTATGGCTCAGCTGGTAAAGAATTCGCCTGCAATACAGGAGACCTGGGTTTGATCCCTGGGTTGGGAAGATCCCCTGGAGAAGGGAAAGGCTACCCACTCCAGTATTCTGGCCTGAAGAGTTCCATGGACTGTATAGTCCATGGGGTCACAAAGAGTCGGACACGACTGAGCAACTTTCACTTCACTTCACTTTCAAGAGGATATGTGTGATCTCTTCTGCCTGTACCTTTCCCTTGAGTTCCTTCTCTTACTAGCATTGAAAATTTTGTCCTTGGCTTAACAAATGCATGATGTGCAGCTTAAGAGGAAGAAAGGTGAAGAATGGGAAAGAAAACCTTTAGGAAGGATGAAAGATTAGAAATTGGAGCCTCTTGGTATATTTTTATATAATATATATTGAGTTTATATATAGGAAAATAATATGACCAATGAAGTTTTAGCTAAAAAGTGGACTAACTTACAAATTCCCCTTCCCTAACCTTGGAGGGACTTCTTCCAGCCCCCCAAGAGGGATCCTTTCCTTAAGAAAACTCTCCTTATAAAGTTAAACATGTCATGCAACAATTTCTAATTGGAACTGTATCCCCAAAGTAAGGAATAAAAATCTTGGGTACAGGTTTTGTAAAATAGATTTAGGTGTGTGTTAAGGTTGAATTTTGATTCCCAAACAACACCCCTTATGGAAAGGGAAAGAAGTATGAAAAGAAGCTGTATCAACTGGGATACTCAATGGAGTCTTTGGATTCATTTCCTTGTAGAAGGAACATCCCTGCAGAGGACATGGAGAGAACTTCAGTTGCTGTAGTGATTCTATTATTGGTTGCCCTAGGAGGGCCAGGAGGGTGTGAGACTAAAACAAAATACCATAGAGACCAATTATAATCCTTCCCGAGATGATAAGTTTCACAAGACAATGGGTGGATTGTTTTTAAGCAGACAGACTGTCAGAAACTCCCTTCTTTCCTTCATTTTACCTCACTGAGAGGATCGTCATTATAGTGTGGTATACCCTCATAATGGACTTCCCTGGTAGCTCAGACGGTCAAGCGTCTGTCTACAATGCAGGAGACTGGGGTTCGATCCCTGGGTCGGGAAGATCCCCTGGAGAAGGCAATGGCAACCCACTCCAGTACTCTTGCCTGGAGAATCCCATGGATGGAGGAGCCTGGTAGGCTGCAGCCCATGGGGTCTCTAGGAGTTGGACACGACTAAGCGACTTCACTTTCTTTTTCGCTTTCACTTTCATACCCTCATAAGTGGAAGGAATTTTACTTAACTAAATTTTAAGCTTAAATCACTGGATTTGAGACATAGAATATTCTATGATGAGCTTGGCTTTTTGGCCTCCCGAAGTGAACTAGGCTGTGAGTCTCAGGCCTGAGGGCTCTCTAGCAGGATGTCGTGGATCACTGAAGGTAGAAGTGTGTCCTCAGAAGGCGAGTGTGAGAAGCTGGATTTTTTCTTCTTTTCTTTTGTTTCTTCCTTTTTGCTCAGAGTCTTCTCCCCACCTTACCCTCTGACCCTCCTACCTGCATGTGCAGTTATCAGCATTGTGGATAAGGATTGCTTTGTTGGTGTCCAACTCTTTAGGCTGAAGATGCTTGAACGGTCTTTACCTCTACATGGGAAACAATAGTGAGACTGTGTCCCTGGCCCATCACACCAGGCTCTTGAGGCATTGTGCAGTGTTGTGTTTGCAGCCGTCTGTGCCATTGTGTTGCCTGGCCAGTGAATCACTCAGAAGCGTCTGGGAGACATGAAAGCGTGATTAGATGTTAGTACGTCTCTCTGGATACTGATTTCTGTACTTTCAGCTTCTTTTGAAGTTAGTAGAAACCATGCACAGAAGGGAAGCACAAGAAAAGAATACAGTATTCTCTTTTTCTTCTAATTTTTTTAAGCAATCTTTTAAGAAAACCCAACCTGCCTGTTCCTAATGGAATTGGGTGCCAAAGGGAAGAAAGGTAGCAATTAGAAGTGATTATAAAGCTGTTATTTATAGCTACTAAGAAGCCTTGTCATAGTACAGGGCTGATGGAATGATTGCTTCTCATTTGTCAGTCAAGAAAGATGAAAAGTATATAGAATATCACTATTAGACAATGTTTGTCTGACAAGCTAAATATAGTTGAATAGGATGCTGAGTAGTTTCAAACAAATATTTGCTTTGTTATTCTTAAGCACATTACATTATGTCTGCCCTTACTCATCATTTCTCTGTAGTAAAAATCTAAATTGTCTATTTGTAGTTGCCGTATACTTGTGCTCCACTGAGTTTTCCTGAAAGTCAAGCAACAGAAACTTGAAAACAAATTTTGTTTAAAAATCAAGATGAGCGTCTTCTTTGGTGGGCCAGTGGTTAAGAATCCGCCTGCCAATGCAGGGAACATGGTCAGGGGAGATCCCACATGTCATGGGGCAACTAAGCCTATGCACCACAACTACTAAGCCTGCGGTCTAGAACTCGTGCTCTGCAAGAAGAGAAGCCACACTGCAAGGAAGCGCCCACCCACAGCAACTAGAGAAAGCCCAGATGCAACAAGGAAGATCCAGTGCAGCCAAAAATAATAAATAATTTTTTTAATCAAGATAAGAATTCTGCAGGGCTTAGAAAATGATAGGAAAGTAACAGGGATAGCTTTGTGGCATTTGACAGCTTTGTGGCATCAAGACAGGGAAAATGAAAACTAATTATACTTCTTCATAATCTGCCATTGTTTTAAGACTTTCACAAGCCACTGCTTCTAAATTCTTTTACCACTTATGGCAGCCTAAGAGATAGGACATGAGTTGGTAGCTGGTTGAGGACTTCAGCTGGGAGTCTTGTAGGTAGAATAATGATATTCTTTTGGAGGAGGGCATACGTATCATTAAGAGATAAGACACAGAGAATTGCTCATGGTAATTTTTCTTATCTTTTCTTATTTTCAGAACAAAACTGTGAAGTAAAATTAATATGATTTTCCCACTTTTATAAGATAACAGTATTAATATAAGAATCCCCAATATGCTTGTCTATACAGACTTTAACAAACTTTAAGAAAGGAGGCAATGTAGTGTAGTGAGTGGAAAGCACATGGCCTTTGAAGTTAGACAGACTGGATTCAAATCCGAGCTCTGTCAAGTATTAGCTGTATGATCTAGTCAGTTTTCCTCTCTAAGCCTTAACCTGTAGAAATGGAAAAGATAGTATCTATTGTACAATGATTTGGGGCAGATTAAATAAGGCAGTTAACTAACAAGTAAGCATACCTGACACATAGAAGATGTTCTTTTGTGTTGTTATGCTTCCTCCTACCCCTTGCTTCTGCACCTGTTTGTGCAAAGGCTTTATCAGCAAAAAACGTTCAGGTGAAGTTAAGAAATTTTTGTCAAGAACCTGCTATGAACTTCTAAGCCATGTGGTAGAAAGAAAAGAACTTGAAGACCTTTTCCTTCAAGGAGCTGATAATCTGTAGAGGGAGGGAAAAACAGTATATAAAAAATTAATTGTAGCATAGGAAATTAGAGAAGAGAAAGATTTTTTTAGACTGGAATAATCAGGAAAGTCTTCATAGAAGATGTAGGAATTAATGAAAATGGAGGCTGCATAGGTGTATAATAGAATGTGTGACATTTTTATTCTAAACAGAAATGTTTTTCAGATACTTACAGAAAATTGATTCTTTTGGTATTCAGTCTAATTACCCTAAATTTGAGTAATATAAAATTCAACAAATTTAATGGTAAAAATAGAAATATTTTACTTGAATTTCTCTGTACATTATATGTAAAACTTCCATTTAATTTTTAAGAGAAGATACTTAAATTTTTCTTAATCTAAAAGAACAGTGTCCAGCCTACACAAGTCTCAGAGAAAGATGCTCTTTGTTTTAGAATGACATGGTCCCACAGAAAAAGCACCAATACAGCATAGCATATAGATACCTGAGGGCTTCCCAGGCGGCACAACAGTAAAGAATCCACCTGCTGTGCAAGAGACGCAGGTTCAGTTCCTGAATCAGGAAGATCCCTTGGAGAGGGAAATGGCAGCCCACTCCAGTGTCCTTGCCTGGGAAATCCCATGGACAGAGGAGCCTGGCAGGCTTCAGCCCATGGGGTTGCAAAAGAGTTGGACACAACTTAGCGACTGGACAACAATAGATATCTGAAGTGAACAAAGCAAACTAAAATTGCCTATGTGCTAACAAAGAACCATGTAGACTACAGGGACTCAAATGGTAATTTAAGAATCGGGATATATATGCATTTTATAAATAATTTGGATAGAAAACCTGTCTTCATTAAATTTATTAAATATTTTTAGAGTATAAATATGTATACATGTATGTTTATGTGATCTGTGTATTCATGTATATGTCTGTGTTTTCTTGAAAGGGGTGTTTGTACTCAGGCCCCATGTTACTGTATCATCATGGAATACTGTGCCCATGGACAACTCTATGAGGTTTTGCGAGCTGGCAGGAAAATCACACCTCGATTGTTAGTAGACTGGTCCACGGGAATTGCAAGTGGAATGAATTATTTGCACCTTCATAAAATTATTCATCGTGATCTCAAATCACCTAAGTGAGTTCCAGAACTAACTTTTCAGTCATTTTATTCTATTGTTTTGAAATATGGAATTTTATTAATCATAATGAAGCTTTTAGACTATTTTCAGTTCAGTTTAAATAAGCAGAGTGGATATCTCTGTTTGCGTATTTTGGAGATTGCTATTAACCTCCTTACTTGCCTATATGGCAGATATGTCCAGGTACCTGCGTGGTTTTTCCTTTTTGTTGCTTTGTAATTGTACAACTATGAAACAAAATACATTATTAACCAAAGAATTCACTTTCCATCATCTCAGATAATGAATGCCAGACTTTCCCACTGGAAGACTTGTTTTCCTAGTGTGTTTCCCCTAGAAAACCAATTTTCCGAAACTGAGTTTCAGAAATATATACAACAGAATAAAAATGGATTAAAAAATAAACCAGAGGTAAAGAGAAAGTAAAACATTAACTAAAGCTTGTCCACAAAATGTATGCCATTAGTTTCTGTACTGTCACTAGAAGTGGATTATGAATTTGGCTTTGAGCTTCCTAGAATCTAAGCAAAGAAGTAAACAAGTAAAGTTCCACAATGTCCATTAAACAATATAAACTGGTTATTTAAGAGAAGCAGAGCTGTTTCTAGTAAACTTTGTTTTCAGAATGATTCTTTGGTTCCCAATAACCACTTTAAGAGAAATGCTTATTCAAGTTTCCCAAAATGCATGAAGCAAGGAAAGAAATTGATCAAATAGTACATTCCAATGTGGCTCCTATTTTTATACATTATTTTCCATCACATTTTTGTTTAGAGAAGCAGAAGAGAATCTTTTCCCAAAACATTTTTGCATAGTGCTTTCATGATTTACAGCATTTGAAAATATTATCATATCCACTTTAATTTTGGCCAAAAAATGTATGGAAGAGATATAATAATTATCATTATTCTTATTTTATGTAAGATAATCTAGAGCTAGAGCCCAAAGTCATGAAGGTAGTACTTGAACCCAGAACTTAGACCACAGACCACTGCATCCTCCCTCATCCTGATAAAATGAGGGAGTCCTGCCTCTCCTCCATGGGAGATACAAATCTGTCCTTGATTATCAACTGCAAAGCAGCTCAAATTTATCACTGTTCTCAACAATGTTTATTACAGTCCTTAGCTCACTAAAAAACCTTCTCCTTGCTTTCCTTACACAAAAACTTTATTATAGTGTTCATTCCTTCTGTTCACATTTTTAACACAATCTGTTGTTTCTGTCATCCACTGCATACATATAAAGCGCACAAGATACCTTGCCGAAGACCTCTTTGAATGGCCTCCTTCTTATTCAGCTTGTTCTCCTTAAGAATTATTTTAGGGAATTCTCTGGCTCTTCAGTGGTTAGGACTCAGCACTTTCACTGCTATGGCCCAGGTTCAAGCTGTGTGGATTGCCCCCCCCCCAAAAAAAAAACTTATTGTTAAAATGATTTCTCTATATTGTTAAGCCTGTGAACCCCTAACTCCTTAACACTCTAATGTTCTAAACAGGTTATTTCAAGTGAATTCAAGCAGTGTGTGAGGGTGCTAGCACTCTGGATTTGACTGGTACTAGATTATACTCAGGCTAGCAAAAGCAGTTTGCCCCAGGTCACATCCCCCAGGTCAGATCACTATTATAACAAGCGAAATATGTAACAAATTATATAAATAAAAAATTATATATAACAAGTAAAATATTCTACACATGACTTCTGTAAAATCTGAGCTTAAATTTATTCCTGCTTTTTCGTAGCAACATTAATAGAATCCCAGCATACTTACTAGCCTTCTATATTAATGAATCCTGTGTGTCATTGTTCCATGCATGATTTTAGTTGGCCATTATTTAAACAGTGTTTTAAAAGAAGTGCTTTTCCCATTGGGTTGTCTGAGACTGGCAAGGATGACAATCAATGTTTATTGAGATGGGTGCTTTACATAGCTTATCTCATTTAATTCAAATGAAAATTTTATGAGACCACTAATTACAGACTCATAATGCCTTATCCAAAACTCCTAAAGTCAAATGATTTCAGAAAGGTAGCATAGGGCATTACATTACATCCCCAGCAAAGTCTGGGGCAACACCCTATAATCATACACATTCATAAATCCATGGCAAAGCCTTTGAGAGTTGCACAAAGTGGGATAAGTAAATTGAGTTTGCTTTATACATATGAGAAAATATTTATAAACCATTTTCAGAGATGTTTGAATTGTGAATAAGATACCGTGACCTGAATTGTCTCCATCTTACAGATGAGAAAACTGGCTTAGAAAAATTAAGTAATTGGCAAAGGTCACACAGCAAATGGTGGAGGCAGGATAAAACCAGGTGTAGCAAGCCCAGTATGCTGTGCTGCTCACAAGTATAAATGATGCTGCTCCTGGTGGGTAGCTAAGGCCCCAGTAGCACTGGAACTAGAGAGCTGAGTTCTGCAATGTAGGAGGCAGCAAACAAAATCTTCAGTTGCCAGTTAGTCATGATTTTAATTAGTACTAACGATCTGAATGCTTTCTTTCTTTCTTTTTAAAGTGTTTTAGTGACGCACACAGATGCAGTAAAAATTTCAGATTTTGGTACATCTAAGGAACTCAGTGATAAGAGTACCAAGATGTCCTTCGCTGGCACTGTCGCCTGGATGGCACCAGAAGTGATACGGAATGAACCAGTCTCTGAAAAAGTCGATATATGGTGAGTGGTGCCATCTGTCCCAACCAAAAAGCCTATTCCCACCTTCACCCTATAAGCCCTTTCCTCTTTCAACACTTCTACTCACCCAAAATACTCTAATATTACTCAGTTCTAGTTGATTTCAGTCTCATGTAATCCGAGGTACTACCCAGTGTGATGACACTTTGTAAGAAGGATTGGGAGAGGAGGAATTGGGGTGAGTATCCACTCAATAAATCATCAGTTTTGGGGGACCATCAAGAGAGTATGCTGAACTTTCTAGAAAACTAAAAGTTTACTTCAAATAGCCATTTAGTATAAAAGTCTTTCTGAAATATATTACATAATTCTTTCCTTCTTGAATAAAACATGGTAAACGAAGTTTACCTATTCTCAGACCATCATCAGGTGTATTAGTGATGTACTTTGCTGTGATACAGTTATATGCTTTGAGGTATACAGGTCTATTTGCTTTTTTATTTAACAGTCCTGATAGACTATGCTTTTTTGGGGGGCGGGGAGAGGTTTTCATCTTTATTTTCTTTTCCTTGAGGTTCCACATCTCTGCTATTAACAGTATATTTTCCTGTACTTGCTTTTCTTTCATTCTTAAAATTGGCGACTAGTAACTTTTAGACTTTAAACCAAAATAATAGCCTATATTAAGGACTGGACATGGAACAGACTGGTTCCAAATAAGAAAAGGAGTACGTCAAGGCTGTATATTGTCACCCTGCTTATTTAACTTATATGCAGAGTACATCATGAGAAACACTGGGCTGGAAGAAGCACAAGCTGGAATCAAGATTGCCGGGAGAAATATCAATAACCTCAGATATGCAGACGATACCACCCTTATGGCAGAAAGTGAAGAGGAACTAAAAAGCCTCTTGATGAAAGTGAAAGAGGAGAGTGAAAAAGTTGGCTTAAAGCTCAACATTCAGAAAACTAAGATCATGGCATCTGGTTCCATCACTTCATAGATGGGGAAACAGTCGAGACAGTGTCAGACTTTATTTTTGGGGGCTCCAAAATCACTGCAGATGGTGATTGCAGCCATAAAATGAAAAGATGCTTACTCCTTGGAAGGAAAGTTATGACTAACCTAGATAGCATATTTAAAAGCAGAGACATTACTTTGCCAACAAAGGTCCGTCTAGTCAAGGCTCTGGTTTTTCCAGTAATCATGAATGGATTTGAGAGTTGGATGGTGAAGAAGGCTGAGTGCCGAAGAATTGATGCTTTTGAACTGTGGCGTTGGAGAAGACTCTTGAGAGTCCCTTGGACTGCAAGGAGATCCAACCAGTCCATCCTAAAGATCAATCCTGGGTATTCATTGGAAGGACTGATGTTGAAGCTGAAACTCCAATACTTTGGCCACCTCATGTGAAGAGCTGACTCATTGGAAAAGACCCTGATGCTGGGGACGATTGGGGGCAGGAGGAGAAGGGGACGACAGAGGATGAGATAGTTGGATGGCATCACCAACTCGATGGACCTGAGTTTGAGTGGACTCTGGGAGTTGGTGATGGAGAGGGAGGCCTGGTGGGCTGTGGTTCATGGGGTCACAAAGAGTCAGACACGACTGAGTGACTGAACTGAACTGATAGTTTTAAAGTAAATAAGATAAAGTAGAAATGTGAGATCATTTGTAATTTGAGTAATTATTACCAAAGTATCCTCATTAGGGATTGCATCAATTTATGTTCCCAACAGAAATGTTTAAGAGAGTTTTTTCAGGCTCACCAACAAAATGTGTTCAACTTTGGGATCTTCTGCCAACCATATAGCTAAAAAAAAAAAGAATGGTGTCTTAGGTGCAGTCTTAATTTGCATATCTCTTCTTATAAATGGGGTTGTAGTTTTTTCATATATTTACATACCCGTTTGTAATTTCTTATTTACACACTAGTCCTTTACTAAGTTTTCTGATATTTTATTCTTATCAACTTATAAGAGTATTTCACATATTAAGGAAATGATCCTTCTGTGTATATGAATTACAGATACTTTTCACTTTTGTTGTTTTGCTTATGTTAGAGGGTTTTTCCATGTCAAGATTTTCTTTTAAGCAGTTTGATTTATCAGTCTCTCCTGTTATGACTTCTGGATTTCTTAATTAGAAAAGCTTTCAGAAAAGCTTTCAGAAAAGATTTCAGATACTCTTAAGATTTTTTTTTATTTCCATATGTTCTTTGAGAATTTTTAGGATTTCATTTCTCACATTTAAATCTTTGATGCATTTGGAATTTATCTTAGTGTAAGATAAAGTGTAGATTTAATTTTTTCCCCAGTTGTCCCAACAGTATTTATTGAATAACCAATTTTTCCCTACTGGTTTAAGATGTAACGTCCATCATGTACTCAATTCCTTTATGTATTTGGTCTATTTCTAGATTTCTGTTCCTTTCCATTACCCTAGCTGATTATTCATCACACTGTTAATTAGTGAAGCTTTGTAGTATGTTTTAATATCTGATAATATTTGTTACCCTTCATTAATTTTCTTTTTTAGAGTTTTCCTGGCTGTTTCTGTTTTTTCTATAGCAATGTTAGAGTTTTATGTGTTTGATTGAAAATTACTAAATAACTAAAATACAAATCAGTCTTTCTGAAATGTCTTCTGTGCTTCTTCCCGGGGCTGCTATAGGTCTTTTGGAGTGGTGCTTTGGGAGCTGCTCACAGGGGAGATTCCATACAAAGATGTAGACTCTTCAGCCATTATTTGGGGGGTTGGAAGCAATAGCCTACACCTTCCAGTTCCTTCCACTTGCCCTGATGGATTCAAAATCCTTATGAAGCAGACATGGTAAGAAATATGTTTCTCCCAACATTCTCTTCTACCTTCTTCCTCAAAACTATGTATAAAACTTCTCTAAACCATATTTAAAACAGCAGGGACGTCTCTAACATGTATTTGGAATGAATAACCTTACTTTGTGTAAAGTCTAGGAGCCTTGGAATTTGAGAACTTTGTATTCACATACAGTTCTACCCTTTTCTATCTGTGTAATTTGTGGCATGTCATCCAAGTAGCAATTTTCTCACTTGTGAAATGGGGATAGTATGATTAATTAAAAATTATAAATAAAGAATTTGGTCTGATATCTTGAAGCAGTAGGCCTTAGTAAATGATAACTATCACCATTTTGCCAGTCCTCAGAGATCATTATTATCAAACAGATTCTAGAGATTTCTAGTTCATCATTAGAGGCATCTCATAATTATATTTTCCTTTTGTTCTTCAGTACATCAAAACTGCCTGAGATATAGCCACATATGGAGTCAGAAATTTTTTTTTTTTTTTTTTGTAAAGTGGAATAAAATGTTTACCCTCCTGGATACAACTTCTGAAATGCACAAGCTTTTTTTTTTTTTTTTAACTTTTAGGCAGAGTAAACCTCGCAACCGACCTTCTTTTCGGCAGACACTCATGCATTTGGACATCGCGTCTGCAGATGTACTTGCCACCCCACAAGAAACTTACTTCAAGTCTCAGGTAAGTCTGGAAACTCTTCCAGGTCCTGCTAAACAAACAGACAGGGAACTCTCAATGAGAAGCAGTAACTCCTAGAAAAGGGCATTTTGATTCTTAGAACAATTACATAACTCGACTCATTGTGAAACAATAATGATGATTATTATAAACGTCACACATACAACTTTGGAGTTTTTTTTTTTAACATTTTGGAGTTTTGGAGGGTTTTTAAGCACTTAACATATGTGAATTCTCTTATCTGAAAATACCTTGTATTAAAATATCATCTTCATAGTGGGTTCTGGTGAAATTGTTGGAGGAAAAAGAGGAAAAGAAGATATGAAAACTGTAGTGTACATGCATTTAAATTAAAATTATTGCTAACCTTCATGAAAGTATTGCTTTTCTTAAAATTAGAAAAGCTAAAGAGGAAGAACGTTAAAGCCCAGAACGATTCTGTGATAGAATTAGGCCCAGGAGAACCTTTTCTCTAACCTTTTCACCTAGTAGCACCAAATAAAATGTAATTTAATGTATCTGTTAGCCTTTACTGCAAAACGTACAGCTTAACACAGTACGCTGTTATTGAGCTCATGATTCTGTGGGTTGGTTATTTGTGCTGGGTGGTTCCTCAGCTGGCCTTGTCTAGGCTCACTCACATGTCTGCAGTCAGTTGCCAGGTCTTCTGGGAGGCTGGCTGGTTCCAGATGGCCTCATTCACTAGTCCTGCCTTAGCTGGCTGTTAGCTCAAGCACCTCAGTTTTCCTTCATGTGGCCCTTCATCCTTCAACAGGCAAACTTGGGCTTGTTCACATGGTCTTCTCAAGGTAACAAATGCAGCAGGAGAGCAAGCCCCAGTGCACAGGTGATTTTCCAGCCTGGGTGCATTGTAGTTGCCAGTGTCTCATTGGCCAATGCAAATCACAGGCTAACCCAGATTGAGAAATAGACTTCACCTCCTGATAGTTGCATTAGTGATAAGTGTGTGACCATTAAATAAAAATACTATAAATGGCATAAGGGCCAGTGATCTACCACTGTCTATTTGGATAGGGAGTTGTGGGGGGAAATCTTTATATGTGAGGTCCTTACCCCTCCCAGACCCAGGCTACGGCAATAGGAGTAAAATAGAATGAAAACAGGAGGAAACTATGGCTTCTGAAATAAATGTGATGATCTTAAATTATAGCTTTATGCTTACAGAATTTAACTATAGTATTGTCCAATTTTTTCTTGAATAGTTTTGTCTCACTTTCTAAAATAAATTTTTGCAAAATGAATTCCATCTCTACATTGACTTCCAGTATCATTTCAAAAGATTCATCTCAGGGAAGACATTTTGTTACCAATTAGTGTCTCTATCTACTTCTGATAGCCCCCAACTCCACTGGGTGATGCGTTTACCTACCAGGAAAGTGTGCTTTGAAAGCAAACTGGACTGGGATGGGCATCATCACTGGGAGTTTAAAAAGGCCCAAATATGCTTTATTAACTGGCTTAACCAGAGGCTTGGGGCATATGCTTCTCTGGTGTCTGAGAAGCAGAGAGATACTCCACCCATCAGATACTGCGAATATCTTAACTTAAGGCTCAAGGTTTTCTAAGGAATAATAAATCAGAGACTTTTCCTCTGTTTCCCAAAGTTCTAACATATTCTCTGTGACCACAAACTTAGCTCTCCCCACACCATGTCTTTGAATAGTCTGGCTTGTCCCTAGAGTTTTTTAGTGTTTCTGAGGAATTATGTAAGTAAAGTATTTGATTTTAGAGAAAATGAGAGGATAACTTCATGATATTTCCTATGTTCTTTGATACTAATTCAGGTAAATTTCCTTAGAACTATTAAAACTATTACCTACCTATACAAATACATGTATGTATTGGTTACTGGATTAGATATCTTTCAAATATTTCCTTATGTTAAGAAAAAGATTTAAGCCCTTTGTGGAACGAAAGAGAATAATAATGAGTGTGTGTTTATGTTAGTCGCTCAGTTGTGTCTGACTCTTTGTGACCCCATGGTCTGTAGCCCACCAGGCTCTTCTGTCCATGGAATTCTCCAAGCAAGAATACTGGAGTGGGTAGCCATTCCCTTCTCCAGGGGATCTTCCCAACCCAGGAATTGAACCCAGGTCTCCCACATGGCAGAACGATTCTTTACCATTTGAGCCACCAGGGAAGCACATGATAATGAGTACTCTCTAGAAAATTTTTCAAACTTAAAGATACAGTATCAATCACAGCTTTGTTTCCTTTTCAAGAAAACTCTACCATAATTTTGAAAAGCAATTTTCATGAAAGTACTAAATCACAAGTCATTGACAGTATGACTATACGTATTGGGAAAACATCAAATTGTAAACAGACTTTACTTGTGTGCTCCCAGAATATCTCTTCTGAATCCAGGGCCACACTTTCTGAGTACCCAACGTATGTATAACACTGTGTAGTACCCACAGTCTATATCCTCACTTGTATAAACTCACTTTTATTAATCTATGCAGCATTAAAATTGAACTTAGAGAAGGTTCTGTTAGAGCAAGAATTTGAAAAGAGAGGAAGGGGAGAAGGAATGGAAAGGAAAAACAGTGCATAGGACATGTTTTAATATTCATAAATTCTACCACCTTTTTCTCCCAGTGTAAAATTTTACATCTCCTTAAATAGTTCAAAATACCCTTGCTAGTTCCTAGAATTTTTCAGTTATTTACAAGCTGATTTGTTAGGGTGTGAAATTCAGACCATCTCTGGCTAATGATAATAAAGTATTTATGAACTAATGAGGGAGGTACTGGGAAAAGTAACAGATTTTGAGCATAAATCCCTATCCTGTGACCTTGGATAAGATAATAAACATGCAAGTGCACTGTAAACTGTAGAGAGCTGTTTGATTGCAAGATGTTATTATTCATCTCCCACAAAGCTATAAAGATTAAGCCTTCTTTGAGGTTGTATGTTCTGGGTGCTTTTTCTGATGCACTCCTGAGATGGATAAGAATGGCAACGAGGGAGCTCCTATTAATTGTGTTTTGACAAGTTATCCTCCCATGATGGGCAAGAACTAGTTTTTTAGCACATAGTTTTGCTTATTGATAGCCCTCTTGTATCTGAGGCCTCGCCTCCTACCTGCTGCCAGAATTCTCTCTGTATCAGTCATCAACCAATAGTTGTTTAGCTGCTGGTCGCCACCTTCCCCCCAAACTATCAGTCAAGGGTGCTGCCAAGAACCCAGCTGATGTCTTCCTGAGAGAACATGATTCATCTGTTTCTCATCAACAGCACTTGTATAAAGAAGCAGCATATATAGAACAAATGAACAGAGCAACCAATTTCAGTACAATATTAGATTCTGCCAAAGATATTGCTTCATTCCTGGACAATAAACCATTTCTCCAAGTAGACAATTATTGCTCCTGGTGTTCAATTACATTTGATAGACATCTTTAGAGGACATTTTAGCCTGGTCCCAGATCCCGGCTGCTAGGTGCATCTTGTGCCCTGCTTCTGAGCTCTTCTACAGCCCTCTGTCTTTGCACCATTTTGAGTGCCAGTTTTTGTTGTTCAGTCACTAAGTTGTGTCTGACTCTCTGTGACCCCATGAACTGCAGCGCACCAGGCTTCCCTGTCCTTCACTACCTCTCAGAGTTTGCTCAAATTTATGTCCAGTGATGCTATCTAACCATTTCATCCTCTGCCACCCTCTTCTTTGCCTTCTTTCTCAACAGGGTCTTTTCTAATAGGTTGACTTTTCACATCAGGTGGCCAGAGTATTGGAGCTTCAGCATCAGTTCTTCCAATGAATATTCAGGGTTGATTTTCTTTAGGCTTGAGTGGTTTGATCTCCTTGCTACCCAAGGGACTCTCAAGAGTCTTCCCAGCTCCCCAGTTTGAAGGCATCAATTCTTCTGCGCTCAGCCTCATTTATGATCCAACTCTCACATCCGTACATGACTACTAGAAAAACCATAGCTTTGACTATATGGACCTTTGTTGGCAAAGTGATGTCTCTGCTTTCTAATATGCTGCCTAGGTTTGTCATAGCTTTTCTTCCAAGGAGCAACTGTAATTTCGTGACTACCCAGTGCCACTGTGACCTCCCAGAAACTCCGGGGCTGTGAGTTGCAGAGACAGATAGCTCATTAGAGGGAGAGACTGTTCTGCCTTAAGAGTAATTCAATCATGAGCAAGTAGGTCCTAGAAACAGGCTGGTGCTCACCTAGGGAGGCAGCAAGGAGGACTCAGGCACTAGTCAAGAGTTAAGACCTTTCTGACTCAGAATCTAAGATTTCCTACTACTTATAGCCCCTCAACATCCTGCTTCTTCATTTCTCATAACTAAGCTTCTTTTTTTCTCTACTTTATAAAAATCATGGTTAAAAAAATCGTGGTAAAAGATATTATAAAATTTGCTATTTTAACAATTTTTAAATGTAGAATTCAGGGGCAGAAATCACATTCCAGGGTTATAAAACTACCACCATTCTCTAGTTTCAAAATTTCTCATTACCTCATTAAGCAGTAACTTCTCATTCTCTACTCCCCACAGCCCCTGGAAATCTCTGTTCTGCTTTCTGTCTCCATGAATTTGCCTACTCTAGATATTTCACTGAAGTAGAATCATATGATAGTTATCTTTCTTTGGTTTGTTTCATTTAGCATGTCTTCAAGGCTCATCTATGTTGTAGCGTGTCACAAATTCATTCCTTTTATGACTGAATAGTATTCTGTTGTATGGATATCATCTATCTTATTTATCCATTCATATATTAATTCAACTTCATTTTGACACCTCTGTTATGAGAGAGAAGAGGAGCAAGGTATGGGTATAAGAGCTTCAGTGAACTGATTAAATAACTGACAAGACAAAAACTTGGTAAACGTTACGGCCTTTTCCAGGCCTTACCTGTGATATGAAGAGGATTCCATTCATGATAATAACCCAAATTTCACTGTATTTCTCCCTTACCTGCCTACTGGACTTATGTACCTTGTGAAATACCCCTACTTCCTCCCTCCACTCTACATGTAGTTTGGGGGGATCCCCAGTAAAGAGGGGGATCTCAGACAGCCCCGTACTAATGTCTGCCGTCCTTTCCTTGTGGCTTCCCTGGCGGCTCAGACTGTAAAGAGTCTGCCTGCTATGCAGGAGATCTGGGTTCGACCGCTGGGTCAGGAAGATCCTCTGGAGGAGGAAATGGAAACCCTCTCCAGTATTCTTGCCTGGAGAATCCCATGGACAGAGGAGCCTGGTGGGCTACAGTCGTGGGATCACAAAGAGTCAGACACGACTGAGCGACACACACACGTACTTTCCACTGACTCTGGCTAGAACAGCAATCTTCACCTAGCATCTGCTGAGTGTTGCTTTATTGGTTAGTACTGTTTTCTGCTGAGAGACTGGGGTCCCCAGCGGGCATCTATGGGATGCTGCCTTATCCTTAAGGAACTGCCGTCACCCACCAGGAGCTGCTATTTTTTTGCAGTAACTAAAGCCGTGGGTTTTTCCAGATTCCAAACTTGCACATTGTTGTGCTTATGCAATGAACTGGTCCTTTCCCTGTTGAGTTACATTTTGTTACAGGTCACATAATAGTGCTAGTTATGGCCCAAGGTTTTGTTGGTATTTTATCGAAACAGTAGGAAATGCCTCTCCACTCCTATGTTGATGACTCTTATAGGTCAGAGGCACACAGGACTCCTCCTTCCCTGGTGTTTTCTCTCAGAGACTCCTTAATCTCTGTGCAAACTGACTTCAGCCTGCCCACCTCCATTTCTTAGATATGCCCAGACATCTCTAAATTGCAGATTAAGTGCAAATTGGAACTCCTATTACATAAAGATTCTAAGTATATGTGATGGAACTCCAAAATTAACATCTACCTGTAACACAATACCTTTGAGGAAAACACATTATTATTAATCAGTACTTGGTATTTTCCCACAAAGGGAACTTCTTTTGGGGAAATCTACTTTAATAAGTTTCGATCTTGAGAGGGTTGTCTTTTGTTTCACATTCCATGAGCCAGGTGTCTGGAGGTTTATTTCCTCTAGAATTTAAAAAACCTGATCTGTGATATCTGATTCCTCACCACTAGAGGGAGATATTCTTGGTCCTTATTAAAGTGTCAGGATCCACTGACATGATTTTCACAAAAGAGGTTGCTTTAAGACCCACCCTTGGCCCCCTCCCTTATCCGTTTTAGGTCCAACCACCCTTGATTATCAGTCTTTGGCCTCTTAAAACTCATATACTCTTGCTCTTTGTGACTTTAATCTGATGGCTGAGAGAACAGCATTACCTGGGCTCAACCAAACCTGTGTTTACTGCTTGGATGCTGTCACTACTTAGCAACTAAACCACCACCATCACCACTGTCAAAGACTGTTGCCAAACAATAGGCAGCACATTCTAGATCTCGGCTTTTTGATGACATTGCTTGGCAGATTTGGTGCCAGAAAATCAACTGACAGAAATCGCTTCCCAATGGTCAGTCAACATGTATATATATATATATATATATGAAAATCTAACATATTATAAACAGATAAGCAGAATGAACACTTTCTAAATAATTGTAATATAATTTCTTCTATAAAAATAAATGAGAAACAGCAAATCTGGGGAGAAAGCTTCTCTAATTTCACAATTACTTAAGTATAGCTTCTTCCAGGGTCTAGAGAGATCATCTTTTTAACATGAATCTTGAAAGGATAGAAGAGCTATGGAAGACAATACAGTTAGAAACATTTAGTTACATATTTAGCCTTCACTAGAAATTATTTTAAGTTATCTCATTAGCTTCTTGGAATAGTAGTGTATACATAATTTGAGGAAGGTTCTCCTTTAGCTGTTTTTCTAGAAATGGTCTGTAGACTATATTCCTGCAGAGATTTTCCTTCCTCCTAAAATTTAGATGAAATTAGTCTGAAACACCATGCCTTATGGAAAAGTCCAATGTCCTTTTTAATACTTTTGTGAACTTCTGGGAGATTTATAATTATATGGACATTTTGGCTCTGCTTTCTAGACCCCCATCCCTGAGATCTTTTGGTTGTTACTTTATCTTTGTCCTGTCATTGACCCAAAGATGCAGTTCAGTATCTTTCTTTATTTTTTTTTTTAAAAAGAAAAACCAAATAAATACACTCATCCAAAGTCAAGGTGAATGTCAGAGGATTTACTAAAGATTTAGGAAATTGGAAGAGCCTTACGTTTTGAAGAACTCAAATCACATATTAGATACCCATCACTCTCCTAAATTTTTTTCCAGACTACTAAATTCTTTGACCATGCTCTTTCTCCTCCTCCTCCTTCCCTCTTTTCTTTCTCATTCCCAAATTCCTATATGCATGCGTGCGTGTTCAGTCACTTAAGTCATGTCCAACTCTTTGCAGCCCCATGGACTGTAAGCCCTCCAGACTCCTCTGTCTGTGGGATTCTCCAGGCAAGAATACTGGAGTGAGTTGCCAGGCCCTCCTCCAGGGGATCTTCCCAACCCAGGGATCAAACCCACATCTCTTAACATCTCCTACACTAGCAGGCGGGTTCTTTACCACTAGTGCCACCTGAGAAGCCCACAGATTCCTGTATAAGTCCCCATATTTTTATCCCCTTCTCCTGTTGTTCATGCCTCTTGGATCTTCTATACTAAATATTTTCTCAAGATATTTCTGTAAACAAAGCCCAGGAGGAATTCTGGTCCATTGTAAAACTGTTTATATTCTGACACATGCTTGTACCATATGGCTATCAGAACTGTTCTTTCTATCCAGGCTTTTTCCACCACAATCTTGACTTAAATCTGAGCTGCTTTATTCCAGAGATGATGGCTAGCGTGCCAGCTGTAGTGTTTCTTGGGGCCAAGACAGCATCGAATATTGGACTAAACACAGAAAATAGGGTGAAGACTTGGGTAGGGTGTGCAGACACATTAATGTGAGATAGTTTACTATTGCACATCTATTCTATAAGGCTCTTCAGTATAATCTTATGGGGTGGGTGGGGAGAAGTCTTGTACAGGGTCCTATGGTTATATCAAGGATTAAAACTCCTGGAGTTAACAAAACCTAATTTGTCCTCCCCTAGGCTGAATGGAGAGAAGAAGTGAAAAAGCACTTTGAGAAGATCAAGAGTGAAGGAACCTGTATCCACCGATTAGATGAAGAACTTATTCGAAGGCGCAGAGAAGAGCTCAGGTCAGCCGACCTCTCCTACTTCCCTTCTTCTTATTCCCAGGTCTTCAGATATTTAACAGGAACCCTTGCAGTGAATCATTTCATCTCCTACACACCTGTCACCTCTGCTGGTTATTGTTATTTTCTTTACAAGTTGCCCTGAAAGTCGGTCCTACTTTGTATCATGTATCACTTTTTTACTGTCTCCCTGCACCTCTGTTAGCCTGTATCGTATCTCTGCAACACAGATCCCTGGAGCAATGCTATTTGTTTATTCAGTTGCTGCCCTAGGTAACATGAAAGATCAGAAATTTATAAGAGGTAGTCCCTGACCCCAAGATGCTTATAATCTATTAAGGGATAGAACACAGATAACCACTAGATTAGACAAGATCTATACCATGGATAAGTATAAATGAGGGATTATCATTTTAGCTTTAACTGTGTATTTCCCTTAACATGTAGCATATTCTTAAGATATTGCCAAACAGTGCACGGACAAAGGCTATAAATTATACATAAATTGCACTCAGATTTTACCTCCTGGCTATTCTGTATGAGTGGATATGGCCCTTAACAGTCAACTAAGTGGCAAACTTGGACTTCTCATCTCCCACTCCACCTTGTCTGTGTCACTGCGTCAGACAAGTGAGCCTTAAATTTAGAGGGCCCTTGGACAAGTGCTTTTGAGATAAACCATGCTGTTCTTATTTCATTAGAGCTGACTCTGGCTCTCCCCCATATTCATTAGCTTCACTGCTCCTGTGTTTTCTTTGATAGGCATGCTTTGGATATTCGTGAGCACTATGAGAGGAAACTTGAGCGGGCTAATAATTTGTACATGGAACTGAGTGCCATCATGCTGCAGCTAGAGATGCGGGAGAAGGAGCTCATCAAGTACGTACCTGGACCACTGTTTGTCCTGATTGATTTGGGTCTATCAGTTGGCCAAGATGTAATACTCGTCCAGGTTCAGTCAGTTCAGTTCAGTTCAGTCGCTCAGTCGTGTCCAACTCTTTGCGACCCCATGAATCACAGCACGCCAGGCCTCCCTGTCCATCACCAACTCCCGGAGCTTACTCAAACTCATGTCCATCGAGTTGGTGATGCCATCCAGCCATCTCATCCTCATCATCTCATCTCATCCGTCTCATCCAGCCTCTCATCCTCATGTCGTCCCCTTCTCCTCCTGCCCCCAATCCCTCCCAGCATCAGGGTCCTTTCCAATGAGTCAACTCTTTGCATGAGGTGGCTAAAGTATTGGAGTTTCAGCTTCAGCATCAGTCCTTCCAAGGAACACCCAGGACTGATCTCCTTTAGGATGGACTGGTTGCCCAGGTTACTGCTACTCAAAACTGGTGACTGTGTTATTCATCCACCCAACATTGCTTGGGGGATGTTCCAGGCACAGGTCCCTGCCCTGGTGGGGCTCAATTTGAGTGGAGTCACCACAGAGCTGGTTCTAGGGGACCGTGCACTTTGCAGTTTCAACCTGCCTAGTGGCTCAGGGAAGGGGGTCTTCATTTCAGGAGGAGCTTGGTGTGGATAAGTGGGAGCTTACTATCCCCTAGGGAAGAAAAGCAACTGCTGCAAACGGTTCAGTGTTTTCCTGAGAATGGCAAGAAACTCTGGGGTCCTGACTAATAGCAGCTCCTGAAAATAAGTAGGACTTCAACCTTTGCTTGGTATCTCATGAGGCGTGTCAGGGGAAGGGAAGGTTGGCCTCCGAGTCCCATCTGCAAGCTGAAGAAAAAAAATGAAGTCAGGTTAGTCTGAATTTAGTTTTGTTTTTTCTTCCTTTTTAACCTGAAGAGCAGCCTTATTATTCAGATAACCTATATCTGTTCAGTGTGGCCAGACTCTGTGATGGAGTAAACCTGTGAAAACATTCTGCCCACCTTTTCTGTCTGGGGTGACTGGTTGGTGGTGGTTTAGTCACCAAGTCATGTCCGACTCTTGTGACCCCATGGACTGGAGCCTGCCAGGCTTCTCTGTCCATAGGATTCTCCAGGCAAGACTGAGATGTGGCCTTTTCTTTCATTCTTCAGGCGTGAGCAGGCCGTGGAGAAGAAGTATCCTGGGACCTACAAACGACATCCTGTCCGTCCAATAATCCACCCCAATGCCATGGAGAAGCTCATGAAGAGGAAAGGCATGCCTCACAGACCTGGGATGCAGGCCAAGCGGTGAGCATCTATACTGACACTATTCAGATAAGTGGGGAAATATTCCCCTAAAATACATTATCAGATGATGGTGAATGTGGCCACATGGTATTGCCTCTGGATACAGAGTAGGGAAGTGGGAGAGAGTGTGTCCTGGACTCCCGGAATCCAGTTATTACTGTCTAAGGCATCAATATTTATTATCTTAGCATGGAACAGTGAAGAGAAATGAAGTGGGGGCCAGACAGGCCTGGATTCAAATCCTATTAGAAGCTGTGTGATTTGGAATATGTCGGTTGATCTCTCTCAGTGCCATGGGTAAAATGGTGTACTTTCCTTTTCTTTTCTTGACCCCCTAGTGCACAGAATTGAGTTTTCTATAATATGCATCATGGGTCCGTATATGTCCCACTTTTATTTATTCATTTAGTTAGTTCTTTTTAATAATGTAATATTACATTACATTGTAATGTAAATCCACCACCAAAACAAAAGAAGGCACTTTGATAATTACCTATATCTAATCATCTAGTTCCCCTCATCCCACTCCTGTGTGGAACTTTTGTGAGGTTTAAATAAGACACTGTGTGAAATTACCTAGGAAACCACAGTTGTTAAAAAAAAAAAAGTTTTTAAATTTTTTCAAGATGCCCTTTCCCCTAATTACAACACATTTTCCTTGCTAGTTTAATGTTAGAATGCTCTTCTAGTCAGTTTTTTAAGTCACTCTCTGCTAGAGGAATTCCTCCCAATGAATGGAGTGGTGACCCAATCCTAAATTAATGAAAAAGAAAGAAATGTGCCTTAATCTGGGTGTAAACCTATCAGTGAGATTGGGATAAATGCAGTAAGAATAAAGGTAGTGAGAAAATGCAAACCAAGCATGTATTTTAAGACTTTCAGAATAGTGACCATCCCAGCACAGCCTGACTAATATGAATCTAAACCACTGAGGGATAACTACATGGATTAATCCCAGCTTTGCTTTTACTTACCACGCCTGACCATCTTCTGGTAAGCTCTAGAGAAATTGTTTTCAGTTGGCACCTAGCAAACCCCTCCAGGAATCCTACCACCTCCCTTCTTTTGGTATAGAACTAGGCACAGCCTTCACCTGCTGGCTCTTCTCTGCAGTCTGCCAAAAGCTAAAACACCAAGCACTTTGGGAGAAAGTAGTGCAGTTTCATTTTTCACAGCATGAGCTCGTGTTTACTTTAATTTCAGTTGTGAGAAACGTGTTTGAAAGTTTGACAGCACCAGTAGATGCTTAGTCGATGAGCTGAACTTGTCTAGAAAGGCAACTCAGAGTGGGTACTAGAGCTTCAGAGAGTTATATTGATTGCATTTTGAAGGATTTATGTTTCAGATTATTTGGACAGTCCAGTGATTATCAAGTCAGCAGGCCAGTGCCCTCAGAAGCGATCAGAGAGAAGAAACCATCCACTATCTTTTAGCCTCAGTTTGTGTTTAGTTAGGGACAGGAAAAGATGAACAATGATGGATCCACCAAGCCCATCACAATTGAGTATAGTCTAATAAGATAGTTTAAATGCCTCGTAACATGGAGAAGCTTGGAATGGGGGGAGAACTGTTCCTTGGCGTCCAAAAACTTGGCTTTAAGCTGTGAGTTCTACCATTTCCTAGGTTTGTGATGGACACAAGCCAACTAACCTCTCTGATCCTCGGTGCTCTCATCTGTAAAATGGGTATTGCAATAGTAGGAAGGTGGTATTTCGTATATTGTGAAGTGCTTTGTAAACTTGGAAGTGCTGTATCAGTGTTATTCTGTGATTTTGCACTGCCAGGTTGAGCAGCAACTGTCTTAGGACACTTTCACCTAAGTTCTCTATTAGTTCCTGCCATAACCAGTTACTGCGTAAATATTGATAGATGCCCTCACTGGGCCTTGGAGGGCTCTCTTTCCTCAGTAGAGAGCCCCAGAACCTCCCCAGATGCTGTCTGTGGCACAGGTTGGCCAACTGACCACAGGGCTGTGAATCTGAGACAGGAAGATGTTGATAACCCCACAGTACCCTATCTACCTCATCATATACTGGTGACACCTGGAACTTCTGTACTAAGACAAGTCTTTAACTGAACTTCTCCTGGAAGAGAAGAAAAAACCATCTCCTACTGCCTGATGCCTACTGATTTGCTGTGAGGCCTGGTTCTTCAAAATGTGGTCCTCAGTTGAGATCATCTGAAAGCATGTTAGAAAGGCAGGCTTTGAGGTCCCATCCCAGACCTATGCAGTCATTTTAACAAGCTCCCAGGTGATCTGTACATACCTTCAGGCTGTACTCTGACTGTCCAACAAGCCAGACTGGCAATTAGGAGAGACTGTTCGTATAGATTCTACCAGTAATGAGCTGTGAGACCAGGAGCCAATATGGTCTGGGTTTGGGTTCCTCATCACATAGGATGAAGGCAGGACTGCAGTTTCCCTGCAAGGTCTGGGACCCCCTGGGGCCTGAATAGAGGTGTCTTTGAGACCGCTGTGAGGGGAGAGAGGATGAGGAGCCAGAGCCTTGTTGGGGGTGGCAGGGGCTTCTGCTTTCCTACCTCTCTTCAGCTATTCTGGGTTTGGGATTTTTAAGGTGAAATTGACATATACCATTATATTAATTTCACATGTATGGCATAATGATTCAACATACGTATATATTGCAAAATGATCACCACAATAAGTTCAGTTAACATCCATCACCATACATAGTTAACAAATTTTTTTCTTGTGATGAGAACTTTTAAGATTTACTCTCCTGTGCATGCATACTTGCATGCTAAATCGCTTCAGTTGTGTCCAACTCTTTGTGACCCTGTGGACTATAGCCCACCAGTAGATCCTCTGTCCATGGGATTCTTCAGGCAAGAATACTGCAGTGGGTTGCCATGCCTTCCTCCAGGGCATTTTCCCTACCCAGGAATCAAACCCACATCTCCTGCATTGGCAGGTAGGTTCTTTACCACTAGCATCACCTGGGAAGCCCCATTTACTCTTAGCAACTTTCAAATACACAACAGAGTATTGTTAACCTCAGTTACCATGCTGTTACATCCCGTGACTTATTTGTATCATAATTGGAAGTTGGTACTTTTTGATCCCCTTCACCCATATCGCCCACCCCCTAAGTCCCGTCACCCCACCTCTGGCAACCACCAGACCTGGGATACATTTCCTCAAACCTGAATGAGTTTTCATATGTTTAAAACCAAACCTGTTCTTTCCTTGCAGGCCAGATCTGTTGAGATCTGAAGGCATCCCCAGTGTGGAAGTGGCTCCCACGGCATCCCCTTTATCCGGAAGTCCCAAACTGTCCTCCTCCAGCAGCAAGAGCCGATATCGGAGCAAACCACGCCACCGACGCGGGAACAGCCGAGGCAGCCATAGTGACTTTGCGGCCATCTTGAAAAACCAGCCATCCCAGGAGGATTCACCCCATCCCGCTTCCCTCCACCAAGCTGAGCCCCAGTACCCTTCTCCCCAGCACCATAATCCTCTGCAGCAGCAATACCAGCAGCCCCCACCTGCCGTGTCGCAGAGTCATCATCCCAGACTCAATATGCACGGACAGGACATTGCCACCTGCGCCAACAACCTGAGGTACTTTGGCCCCGCAGCAGCCCTGCGGAGCCCACTCAGCAACCACGCTCAAAGACAGATGCCTGGCTCTAGCCCTGACCTCATCTCCACGGCCATGGCGGCAGATTGTTGGAGAAGTTCTGAGCCTGACAAGGGCCAGGCTGGCCCCTGGGGCTGTTGTCAGGCTGACCCCTATGATCCCTGCCTCCAGTGCAGGCCAGAACAGCATGGGTCCCTAGACGTCCCCTCGGCCGAGCCGGTGGGGAGGAGCCCCAACCTTTTCAAGCCACCAGCACACAATCCCCTCTCAGAAAATGCCCAGGGTTCTAAGAAAATGGAAGAAAATGAATTCAGCGGTTGTCGGTCTGCATCATCCCTTGGCGCCTCTCATCACATCACTCCCCCAGTGCTACCTCGCAAAACAAGGCCACTTCAGAAGGTAAGGTATAATGACACACAGCAGCCGTGTGTCACTGCCTTTGAGGAATATTGAAGCCTATCATATGCTATGCATTATAGAATGTATATAGAAAGTATGCATTTTGTAAAAGGATGAGATAACAAAAGCACAAATAGCAGTATTTTTGCTTTTAATACTTTCCACACTGCTTAGGTGATAGACTAAAGAATACAACTCCTGAATCAGGGCAATGATTCAAGTACATATAATTTATAAGTAGAAAAATAGCTGTATATTAGGGCTACGTAATCAAAATAGGTTGGAATCCACTATCGTAGCCTAGTTCTAAGGATGTTGCAAGAAGGAAGGATCCCATTATAAAACAGATTTGGGAAACAAAACCATATCTTTCCTTCCCTCTCGGAGATTCCTAAGTACACGTTTAACAAATCCTAGGCTTTGAGAAATAGTGCAGTAACCTCCTTTAAGCCAGTGTTTCCCTCACCTATTTGACCATACTGCCTTTTAAAAATAACATTTATTCACCCCCATGGAACTCACTTTCTTCCCAGTATATTTTAGAAAAACATCACCTTCATTATTAACCATCAAGACCCAGCCAGTTCTCAGTCACTGAAATCTATTCCTTTCCTCCTCACCCACTGGCTATCTGTGGTTTATTAGCTGGGAGGCCGACTAACTCTCCTACCGCATGTAAGAGCACAAGCTTGGTAGTCAGACCTGAGTTCAAAGCCAAGCTCTTCCACTTAGTACCTTTCTGAGCATCAGTTTCTAATCTATAAAACGGGGCTAGTAGTGGACCCTGCCTCACTGACTGATGTGAAGATTAAATGAGTTAATACATAAAGAATTTAGAATCTGGCATACAGCAACATTCCAAAAATATGAGCTCATCTTGCTAATGAGTTAAAAATAACACTATATATGAGAAGTGTTTAGCACATAGAAAACACCCACCCAGTTCTAACCATCATTTCACATCATCTTCATTCATCGGGAGTTCTGTTGAAGTAAGGAAAGTGTCTGAAACGCAAATGAGCATGTTCTGGTCAACTAGACATTTCCTAGGAAAGAAGCTGAGGGCCACTGTCTCAGCTTTGAGACAGTGCTTCTTCCTCCACACACAATGCTGCTACTTACTGAGAATTCCCAGGGATACATCGTGTTTCAGGTAGTGCAGTGGATTTGGGCTAACTCATTCTCTACAGCTCTGACCCCTATGGCTAGTAACATATATTTTGGTAGCATGTTTATTGAGATATAATTCACTTACCGTACAGTTCTCTCATTTAAAGTGTACAACTCAGTTCTTTCTATTCAGAGTTGTGCCGCTATCAGCACAACTGATTTTAGAATCTTTTCATCACCCCCAGAAGAAACCCATCAGCCCACACTCCCCAGTCCACTTCCAAGTAACATGTATCTTTGAACTCTTCTGGTGCCATTTTGAGGCATCTGTGGATCTGCAGGCCACGGAACACACCGCTCACACATTTGGCCTCCCTAGAACCACGCTCCCACAGGGTTGCTCAACCTCTTTCTGCTGAGATCTGCTCCCAGGAGTGCTCTAGGGGGACCTGCTTGTCTTCACAGGCAGAATAACTCCATCCCTGTCTTCCCTATTCAAAACACATATCAGGAGACAAATGGGTAAAAGTGATAGATTATTAGAACAGACTTTAAAAATAAATTATCCGTCCAACTTCCCTGATGGTCCAATGGTTAAGACTTAGCCTTCCAACACAGGCGGTGCAGGTTTGATCCCTGGTCAGGGAGTTATGATCCTGCATGCCTCATGGCCAAAAAAATGAAACATAAACAACAGAAGTGATTGTGTAACAAATTATGCTCAATTTTTGGTACAGTTATTTGGACCCACTTTACTCACCTCCCAAGGGATTGTTGTAATCCTGTGCATCATGGTGCTGTGGTTATTGATGGTTGATCTTAAGTGGGGCTGTTCCTGTGCCCTGGAAGAGAAATAGAATCTTCCCTCAAGGGAAGGTTGTGTTCTTAGATAAGACACTTACACACCCTTCCAGATCAACCACAGAGCCCAAGCAGTGATGGGGCCTCAGATGTCCCAACCAGGACTCTCTTACCCATGCCTATGTGCTGACTCATTCGTATATTAAGTATCTACTTTGTATACAGTGTTGTGTTAATGGTAGAGGAGGAATACAACAGAACAAGATGGAATCTGACCTTAAATAATGTATGTCTTAGTAGTAGAGATGATATAAGCATAATAGTTATAATACTAGGGGAAAAGTGATTGTTACATAAAGAGGGGAAGTAGTTGTTGGGCTTTGAAGAACTGAAAGATCACCTCTTGTTGAAGTCTCTATGTCAGAGCCTAGAACCACTAGTGACAGTGGTTACAAGAGAACACCCCCAAATCTAAGACCTCTTCTCTAGTTCCCCTCCTGATTACTCACCTGTGGACATTCTCATGGAAGCTTCACCTCCCTGAGGGCAAAGATAACCCAGCCTTACCCAGTTCTATACATCCTCCAGCATCTAGTGCAAGGCCTAGATGGACACCCAGGGAAGGTTGCTATATGAATGAATGAAGAGGTATGCTTTTAAAAATGACACTTAGCAAGCTACCTCTCGGTGCCTCTGATGATAATTAAATCTTTTGCAGCGTCTCTGTGTGCATATGTGTGTGTGTGTGAATGTAAGAAAGAGATATAAGACTCTTTTCTCCTTGTTTTCAGAGTGGAGATGACTCCTCTGAAGAGGAAGAAGGGGAAGTAGATAGTGAAGTTGAATTTCCACGAAGACAGAGGTAAAACCAATAAACCCATGTGATTGCTCTCAGTGTAAGCAGGGAGAATCGTGAGTTTACCATACCTCCAGTTCCACAACAGGCCACTTTCTAACAGCCGCTTATAGGCAAGTTTGGACCCAGTGTTCATGGTTTCCTGTTGGCCATTTTGGTAGCTGGCTATGCACTGCAGATCCTAGTTTATCCAAATTCACTAGATAAGAACTGAAAGATGGGGAAAATGAATATGACTCAAGGTTATAATTGAGAATATAGTGGGCAGTTTATGAGAGATGGCTGTCCTGTTTTATGGGTAATTTTATTGGTTTCTAGTGTACCTCCTTGTATTAGTCTGCCCAGGCTGCTGTAACAAAATACCACAGACTAGGTGGCTTAAACAAAAGAAATTTATTTATCCCAATTCTGTAGCTGGGAAGTCCAAGATTCCTGGTGAAAACTCTCTTCCTGGCTTGCAGACAGCAGCCTTCCTGCTATGTCCTCACATGCTAGGGGAGAGAGAAAGAGCATGAGAGATCTTCATCTTCTTATAAGGCCACAGTCCTATCAGATTAGGGTCCCACTCATATGACCTCATTTAACCTTAATGAAATGACTGAGCACATACGCACACCTCCTAAAGACCCCATCTCCAAATTCAGTCACATTGTAGATAAGGCTTCGACATATAAATTTGAAGAGGATACAATTTAATCCATAGCACTTCCCATGCCTTGGATTTTATACCTTACCAGGTTAAGTATAGTTAAATGAGTTGATCCTCCTTCAGCCCATCCTTAGAAACAGCTTCCTGCCTAGCCAGCAATAAGAACTTTGCTTGTAGGACCAAAGAAGCACCACACACCCCTACCTCTAGAATTAACAGCTGCTGTCATGTAGAAGTATGGAAGGGAGTTTTCCTCCCAGGAGGCCTTTTCTGCTGATAGGCATTCTGTTCCTGAAGAGGAAGACTGTAAGAATCCCCCAAGGTTTGTGCACCTGCCCAGAACCAGGAATTTCCTGAGACCAAGGGACTCTGCATACTTGAGTAGATTGTATTCTGGGCCCATATGCCATGCACAAAATTGAAGTCTGTTCTCACCCCTGAGTTATTCCTACCACATTGCCGTTGCTTCCTTGTTTCCTTGGACACTATGTTTTCTCCTCTGCAGTGAGATTGAGCCTGGATAGCTGTCTTTTCATCCTCTGACCCCATTTTACGGGCATCACAATTACTTCCAACATCTGTTCCTTTGGTCACCATTAACTCAGCCCACCTGATGGCTTCCCACCTTTCTTTCTTGCTGTGATACAGATTTTGTTTTTAACCTCATGGTTTTTCTTTTTCTATTATAACATTCTTCCCCTTGTCTCCCTCCTGGGTTACCAGCCTTGAGAAGCTGTGTGAGTCCTACCTTAACTTCCCTTTCCCACCTGGGCTTCCTCCATCTGAATTCTTGATGCTATCACTCCAGCCCATCACCTGGCCTGGTCATCAGCCAACCTCAGATCACAGGCTATCGGAATCGCTTTGTACTAAGAAATACAGGAAGGTCAAGCAATGACAGAGGGAGAGGCAGTCTTCATTTTTATTATTTGTTTTGTTATTTTAAGACAGTGTAAGCTAACAGCATTCTTATTTACTAGGCTCCTTTGTAAACAATGGGAGAGAAATGAGGAATTTTTGTAAATCCCCTCTCCCCTCCCCAGAAACTGTCTCGTCAGAGCTAAACCCCGACTTTACCTGGAATGAGCACCTACTGCTGGAGAGTGCCCACAGCTAGAGTCAGCGTTCCTTCCAAGCTCATTTCTGTTAGGGGTTGATCCACAGGGTGGTAACAGCACTCAGCCTTCCGAGGCCCCTGTACCCAGTGAGAAATGTACTGCCAAAGACCAGCGGTAGCCATCAGCTTTGGAGCATTGTGTGGAGCCACATAAGCATAGAAAACCAAATGAAAGGGGGAATGCAGATTTCCCTCTCTGTTGCTTTAAATAGTTTCTACCTTTCTGGATTTGGCTCTCCCTCCGGGGCAAGCAGAAAACTAGATCACCTCCCACCAAGGCTGCGACCAACAGACAGGAAAAACAGCCGTTCCCAGGACTAAGTTTCTCTGGTTCTTTGTGGTTCTAGGCCCCATCGCTGTATCAGCAGCTGCCAGTCGTATTCCACCTTTAGCTCTGAGAATTTCTCTGTGTCTGATGGTGAGGAAGGAAATACCAGTGACCACTCAAACAGTCCTGATGAGTTAGCAGATAAACTCGAAGACCGCCTGGCAGAGAAGCTCGATGACCTGCTGTCCCAGACGCCGGAGATCCCCATTGAGATATCCTCGCATTCGGACGGGCTCTCTGACAAGGAGTGTGCCGTGCGCCGCGTGAAAACACAGATGTCTCTGGGCAAGCTGTGTGCGGAGGAACGTGGCTATGAGGTGGGGTCTTTGCCTCTCTCCTCCTCTCATCACTGTCCCCTTTCCTGGAGGTCTTTGTGTTAGAACATGCTCAAGTCCCTACGGCCTTTACAATTATGGAGAAAGGCATGGCAACCCACTCCAGTATTGTTGCCTGGAGAATCCCATGGACAGATGAGCCTGGCGGGCTACAGTCCATGGGGTCGCAAAGAGTCAGACACAACTGAGTGACTAACACACACACATATAGGATAAAATAACTTCCTCTATGAAGTAAATAGAAGTATAGTAAGTCTCCTATATATGAACCTTTAAGTTGCCAACTTTCATGTTTGCATGTCCAGTCACTTAAGTTGTTTCCTGTGTCTGGCGTACATTGTCATGTGTGTGCATCCTTCTCCTAGTGGTTGTGCTTTTGTGTAACTTTACAGCACTATATAGAGTACTGTGGTACAGTATCAATATTTCAAGCCCAGGATGTCTGGAAACAAGCATAAAAACAGCAGTGATATAGCTGGTATTACTGTACTTTGCAGGGTACTGTACTATAAAATTAAAAATGTTTGTGTGTTGGTTTTTTATGTATTATTCATGTGAAAAGTATTATAAACCTATTACAGTACAGTACTATATAGCTGATTGTTTTAGTTGGGTACTTAAGCTAACTTGGTTGGACTTAATGAACAAATTGGACTTACAAATGTGCCCTGAGAACAGAACTCATTCGTATGTAGGGGACTTACTACAGAGATAATAGAGCTTCCCACAATGGGGTAGTTCTCCCAAATGAAGCACAAATATAAAACTTCTCAGGAACCCTTCACCCTGAGATTCAACTCAAGCATCACTTCTGACCCCATCTCCCAACCTAGCTGAGAGTATCTGCGTCCCTCCCCCAGGTCCGCACTAGCCCCCTATGTGCTGTCAGAGCACTTGTACCACTTCAGTTAACATACAGTACTGCCTTCTCAGAGGATGGGTCACATCATGCTTGGCAGTGTAGACCCTGGAGTCTGACTGCCTAGATGCCAACCTTAGCCTTTCCACTCACTCATCGAGTGATGGGCGGCAAGCCACTTAACCTCTCTGTAGGTCAGCTCCCTTATCCCATATACAGGCATGATAACAGCCTCTATTTCACAGAGGATTTAATGGATGTTAAAGCACTTACAGCAGTGTCTGGAACATAGTGAACAATGTATGTGGGGCTGTGGTGCACTATTTTCACTGTCTTCATCATTGTCATCATCGTCTTTCTAAGTCTTCTTTCTCCATAAGCCCCACAAGGACAGGGTCTGGTCTCATGTATGTTAGCCAATAACCCAGCACAGGACCTGTCACATGGGAGGTGTTCAAAATACATTTACTGAGTAATTGGAGAAAGGAATTAAGGTCTTATGTTGTCTTGACTTTGCAGAATCCTATGCAGTTTGAAGAATCGGACTGTGACTCTTCAGATGGGGAGTGTTCTGATGCCACGGTCAGGACCAATAAGCACTACAGCTCTGCTACCTGGTAATGAAAGAACACCCACCCTGAAGATCATGACTATACTGGCATTTCAAATTCACCCCACCCCCAGACTCTTCCCACTCTCTCCCTGCTTTTTTGTCTGGGAGGAGAGCTGCCCCATCTTTCTTACCCCTAGAAATGAGCTGCAATAACAGGAACATGAGACTTCGCAAATCTCTGGAGAAAAATATCCAAATGAAATTAAGCCTCACTGAACATTTCAATCAAGAATGGCAGGGATCTATTTTATTGAATATTCTAGCTACTGTAACATTGATATTTATTTTTGACATTTTAACACTTTGTACTGTAAAGAGTGAACTATATATGATAGAGAAAAAGACAATAATTTCTTGCAAAAAAAAAAAAAAAGAGCGAGCGAAAGGAGGAAAGAAAAAAAGTGAAATTTAGGAGCAACATCCTTGGGAGTTTGTGGGACCAGGAGGTATTATTGCTACTTGAACAGGGGACCAGTTCTTTTGGCCATAAGTGACTGAAGAAGAGCCAAAGCAAGACATACTGAGCATTTTAGAAAACAAAGAGCAGCAAAAGAAAAGCAATTCCAGGTAACTTGTGAACAGACCACACTAAATTCAACCAGCTTGTCCAGATGGGTGATGCAAAGACTTAGGAAAGTTTGGCGACCAGGTATTTGTATCCAGGGTCTTTGATGGCATGTGTTCAAAACTGTGTATGTGGAAGCTGACCTTTTTTTAAAAATTTTAAGCAGCATTTGGTAGTGAGACTTAGAGAGAGTGTCCAACCTTGTCCTTGACAAATATTCTGCTTTTTAATGCTGTCAGTGTCATGACCTTGGCGAGTGTGTTACTTTGACCAATGTATTGATTTTTCAGACTTGAGTGCCATTTTCCTGTATCCTACTTCCTTCCCACCTGTTGACTATTTCTTTTAGGGGAGAAGGGGGGCAGGGGAGAGAGAGCCTGCGGAAGAGAGAGGATAAGACAACAGTGTTGGAAAAGCAAATGTGCAGTCTGTGAAAGGACATTCACAGAAGGTCTCAGTTTAACTACGTGGAGAAGATGGGAATCACCCCTCCATGGGACCAGGTTGTTTGTCTTCTAGAGTTTTATTGACTTAAATAGAACAGTCTTGGAAGGCAGCTAGGAGGTGTGTGAGTCTGCCCAATGTCCAGTCCCAGACCACACCCCATGTTTGTATTAACTCATTCTAAACCCAGAAGCTTTCGTGAGTGACTGCCACTATCAGAATAAAGGCAAAACAGGCAATTTGCAAAAGGCAACCCCTCCCCCACCATGATAGCATTTCTGTTAAATGCTACTTGTAAAATGTATTTGGCTCCATGCAATTTTGAATAATTTGATTTGGAAATTCATAGAAAGAACAACTGATGCTAAGCAGAGATTGGAAAGATTTTGTATTGTCCAAGGCCTGATGTCCTTTCTGTCCCCAGGATCATGGGCTCTAAGAAACAAACCAAGGTATCTCATGGTGCCTCAGCTTTAAGGAAATTTTAATCTAGAATTTGATATAAAAACAGATGTTGGCCTAGATTCTGTCTCCAAGATTAGTCACTGCCAAACACCCTTTCTAGGCTCAAGACCTAGAGAGGATGGTTTAAACGCTTTGACACTGCATCGGATTGGACATCAGGCAAGACTTACACACACAGATATTAAACCATTTCCAATACAGGTGAAAGCATCGCCCTCCTCCAAGTGTCACTGATTGCATCGGCCAAAAAGCAAAAGCAGGAGGGAATTTAGAGAAATTCCTTTTGCTTGTTTGATCCCTCAGTTTGTTTACACTTTATGTTGAGACATTGATTTAAAATTTAGTGTCTATAATTTATAGCTCTTAGGTAGGATGAAGGAAAATGTTTAACTTATACAGAGAGCAGTATTGTTTCATTAAATTATTCCATTTTGTATGAATTCTGTAGCTGGACTACATGAAAGATCTTAAGTTATGGCATTATTATCATTGTTATTTTATTTTATAATAATTATTATCCTTCTCAAAAAAAAAACAAAAAAAAATAATAATTATTATCCTTCTCATTTTCTGTCGATCAGAAGGTGCGGTTTATGGTGTAGCACAGTGATTGTGTTGATTGCTAACCATGAGTTATTACGGATTTTTATGAAGGAATGAAAATGGAACTGCCGTGTGGGAGCTCCCTGGTATTCGTCTTAGCTGTATTCCCTCATTTTCTGTGTACAACAACAATCATCTGAGGATGCGGGTACTGCCCTGAGGCCCAGTGGTTAACGCTGTGATTTTGACTTGATCACAAAAGCTCCTAGGGGCAGATGACTGAGTGGTGGACAAAGTTCCAAAGCTGTACACTTTCTCAAGTTTCTTAAGAAATAAAATCATGCGATCCATTAGAAGCACAAGAGAATTATTTGATGCCCTGGGAGAAACAGTCCTACAGGGAACCTGCCTGGGGCCTGTGGGATAGATAGTTTCAAGAACTGGCAACACGGTTTGTAATCTCCTTCCTGCTAAATCCCATAAAACCAACCTTTTTTCCTCCTAGTTAGGAGACTAAAAAAACAGAAATAGATGGCATGACCAAAAAAAAAAAAAATGCCTAGCTGTGGTGATGATTAGAAAAGTTCTAGCCTGAGGCCTAATCTGTTAGTCACAGAGCTGGAAAGGCACCTTTTAAAGCCCGTATTTTCCATCCTCTGACTTCAGACAACACTGTACTGTGAATCTCTCTGGCTCATTACTTCTGAGAACAGAGAGGCTACAACTCTGTGTCCTCTTTCTGTCCAACATAAAACACTGACCCTTCAGCTTGTCCAAGCCTAGCCCACCTATAGTGGCCAAAGAGAAACATGAAGGTCAGCGTGTCTTATCCCTTTCAGTGATGATCTTCCTGGAAAATCCACTCCAATACCTCATCATTTTGATACCTTTTGAATTCCCATCTGGACTGTCTGTCATGATAATGCCATATATCTAACTGGATTGACTGTTAAGAGCATGTTAGGGCCACAGACAGTGTTGAATCTTCAAGTCATTCACTGTATGGTCAAGAGCTGAATAAAGTTCCACATTGAACATTTTACTTATTTTCTTTAGTAGAAGTGACTAGAGGCTTCAGAGAAGAACAGTGTCTTTAGAGAAATACCTTCTCTATCCCAGGCCGCCCTTCACTGCCTGCTTTGAAGTAACCAGGACAGTTTTGAATTGGTGTGTGTTTCTTTGAGAACAACTCCACAGTCATCTGAAGAGTGTGGAATGAAGAGCTCAGGGAATTTAAGAGCTAATTCTTCAGTTTGACAACTGGGCGACAGCACTTTAAGGAAACTTCCAGGACTATGATTTCCAGCTTCGGTGTCGATCAAAAGTTTAACCCCCTTGGGATGAATTCCACATTCATTTAGCATCTGGTTTTGACTGACTGCAAGATAATGAGTTTTAATTTGTGTTGCAGATGAGCATTTGATTCTGATTCACATCTATTTCTAGGTCATGTCCTCTGAACAACAATTCCTCTTAAAATTGCTTAGCAGAGGGACTGAGAAGCCTGCATCCCCTTTGAAGTTATAATAGACCTTACCACTGCTAAAGCCTGCATCTCCTTTGAAGTTAAAATAGACTTTACCACTGCTAAAGTTTAGATCTGTTTGCTAGATTGTGCAAACACCTTCCCAGAGAGGTGAAGAGCTAGCTGTGTTGTAAGATGGTTTGGTATGACCTACTTGAAGTTCAGATATTTAAAAACTTTGGTATCAACAAATCCATCCTTATAGAATTAAGGATATTTTTAGTTGGATTTAATTAGTACACTGGAGTTCCATTTCAGGACCTCATTGTACTGAATTTACCTCTTATCCAAGTAATAATAGACTTGATGGTTTGGGGTTTTCTTGGTACAACCTAATTTTAAATGCCCTCTCCCACTGTGGAGCACTGATTTTTTTTTTCCAATGTGAATGTATCCTTATTGATCAAAAGATTTACCTTTTTCTTCCATGCCCTTATGTCTCACTCTCCACCCCCTTTTCTTAAAATGTTTCTACTTGAACTTCTTGCAACTGAATTCCATAAATCCCAAGGAATTCCTGCCCTGCTCTGCTCATAGTAGAGTTTGCTATGTTGTGTTTCATTTTTCTACCAAGCCAGAAACCAGAATACCACCACATACCACCATCTACTATCTTCACCCTTGATATCCCAAACTATGTTATTGATTGATCACCATATTCTTTCCTGCTGAACCTGGACGCACCCTCCGAACTTCTCACAATACAGCACTTGGAGCAATAATTACCACTTGATTGGAACTGGTGTGCAAGGGGAGATCTATTTGCTGTCCCAACCTTAGCCTCATAACTTCCTAAGGTGGTTTGAGATCTTGAGTTAGCCCACATGGGAGAATGACGGGATGTACCAGTATTCTGCTTATAGGTCCCACCCTGTGGCCAGGGGGGCAGCATGAAAGGCAAGAAAAAGGCTCCATGCCTTCACCCACTGCCCCTTTGGTGTATGATTCCAATTGAATTCCAAAATGTCTCCTCATTTACATCATTTCATTGTGTTAAATGAGTCTGTTCCTCACCACCTTCTATAAACAGAGGGTTAATTAAGAAGTCCCAGTTGCTTGCTTCTTCCTTAGATTCTGTGAGACAGAGATACCAAAATGATGTGACATCCTTTTTAAGACTTTTGAATTGTTCTGTCAGTGTGAATTTAGTGCCTTTCTAGGCAGCAAGAATTTTCTTCATTGCTGATTTCATAGAAAAAATGCCCTAATATACTCACACCGCCAGTGTTACCAACATATACAGACTAGCACAGAAGAAATCACATTAGTCTGCCTGTTTGCACGTTACAGCCAATACTGCAGCACCTGTTCAAACTGGAACAGACTAGACTGCCAGGTGGAGGACCTTTGTAGGAACTGGAACACTTCTCAGGAACAGGTGGCAGAAGAGGAGAGCTCACTGTTCTGAGAAACGGGGTCACCCAAAAGGAGTTGGGTGAAGGCTTCCCTGTCACGTGACCAGAGCACACTGGCAGAACTTCACACAGAGCCAAGTCCCCCGGCAGACAGCAAGGCCACTGTAAGGGAAGTGCTAGTACTAGTCGCTCAGTCGTGCCCGACTCTTTGTGACCTCATGGACTGTCCGTGAAATTCTCCAGGCAAGAATACTGGAGTGGGTTGTCATTTCCTTCTCCAGGGGCTCTTCCCGACCCAGGGATTGAACCCAGGTCTCCTGCACTGCAGGCAGATCTTTACCATCTGAGCCACCAGAAAAGGTCCTGTAAGGAGACTTCCAGCCAAGTCCCAGGCCTACTCTCCAGAGCCACTTCACAGCACTCAGGGGAACACTGGCTCCTGGCCCTAGGCTGCTGCCTGGTGACCAGGCAGATGGGGCCCTCCAGGGGCTGCAGGTCAGAGGGAACCCCCCCAGAAGGTGCAGGCTAATAGGAAGATGTCCCTATTGACTGTGTCGCCCAGGGAGCTCGCTCCCTCCAGAGTGCCCACTTATCAGGTTCTGGAAGTGTGACAACCCACTTGGATTCTTGATTGCAATAAAATGTGAGCTCAATTTGAAGTGGATTAACTTCTTTTTTTGTAGTCAAGTCTCAAAATTAACTCCCTCATCTGCGTCCTCTGTGGTCTCCGGTCCTGTTAGTTCTCCTGCTCCTTGTGCAGGTTCTGATGCCGGCTCTCCCTCTTTGTATCGACCAAGTGTACAGTGATGGGAACAAGAGCAACTATCAAAGCAAACAAATGCATGGAATTAAACAAAAAGTGTACTTCACTGTTTTCTGTCCTGTCTTTTCCTTAAGGGCTGCTTGTGTCCTGAGAGCTACCTTAACAAGTTTTACAATTTGTCAGGGAAAGGAAAACTTTACACGACTGGGTTTCCTGCAGCTCGGAAAAATAGGTGGTGAGAAAAGCTGGTTTCTGTGGCATTTTCATCAGACACATCCACAGAAAGAAGAGACGACCATCATTGTGTTATTGTCTCTTCGTGATTATTCTGTCACATCCGAAACAGGCATTCTCCTTCCCCACAGCTTTCCTGCTGCCCACCTTGCAGCTACTTCTCTGGTATGAGAACCCAACTCTCAAATGCACCTAAGAGGAAAAAGGCAAAAGTGAAAATCTTCCAATGCATACGACTGCTCAGAAACCTGAGAGCAGAAAGCTAAGACAACACATTGGATTGTCTGATTTCAGCCAATCCCAATTCCCACTGGCAAAGTTAGCAACCTGCACACACACACAGCACACAGAATACATATATCCATTTATTTGGGAAACTGCTTTGCCTGTAAAGTCACAACTGCTAAGGCACATTGTTGCGAAGTCAAGGGGGAGGAAGGAGAGAGACAAATCCAAGGATCCAGGTAAAGGGCAAAGGGTACACGCTTTCAGCAGTGCAGAGAGCTTCCGGTGTCTCCCCTCCCTCCTACCACAGAGCTTCACAAAGAGCCATGGATTTCCAAGTCCAGTTGGTATCCTCTTCATGCCCATTCTTGTTCTCAAGCTTCTTTTAAAGCAACACATGCTTAAAAATGAAGTCCTTGTTATGTTTTTTTGGATTATACTGTGTCCAAAAAACACTGCTTGGGAATTCATTCTTTCTAGTGAACAAGTATTCCCAAGAATTCGTGTAGAACAACTGATCTGCATTAAGCCTTGGCAAGATTCTTGGCCAAGTCAAATCAAAAGCCAGCAGATGGTGCCCAAGGGCAAGAGTTCTGATAAGAAATGATGACTTACTCCTTTGGGGCACAGGATCCCAGAGCTGGTCATTTTAGGTGCCAAGGTCCTTTGTCCTTGGAACTGATCTGTGCCAATTACAACACTACAGTTATAGAAAGCAGACAGCTACAGATTCATTAAAATACAACACAACAAAGTAATCCAAAGCAAAGCTTTCTCCTTGAATTCCCCTGAATTGAAAGATAAAACAGTTATCCCTCAGTTATTTTCAGGAAATGAAAAAAAGCATTTGGAGGGTACGCAGGCTGGTACCTGTGTACCAGCTGGTACCATGTACCGAGTCCATCTCCCAGCAAGACAGAGGAGGCATTCTCACACAGAAAGGACAGACTAGAAAAAAGGTACTGATGGTCATTTGGTTCAAGTGAGTTGAGGGCTCTGCACATTCAGATGGGTAAGCACTTCTCCAGAACATATTCATAACATACAGAGTGAGCTCCACTGATATTTAATAGTCCAACTGCAATCAGCTGAATTGTCTGGACATGCAACCAAGAGGAGATGTGACATATGCGGTAATATCAGTGCATCTGAACACAAAGAGCATCACAGCAATCACTGTGCTTTGGAGCTGTACATGGAAATTGTATGCAGTTTGTCAGCTTGTTTCCCTTGATCAATGCAAGAGGTAGGTCATCAGCAAAATAAAAAAACAAAAAAAACGTGTACTGAAGAAACACTCTTCAGGAGACTAACAGAAAGTGTGGTGTCAGTGATGTGGGTTCAAGTCATTAATCTACACTTAGCTTGTCCACAAAGGACATAAAAAGATAAAACCTGTCATGACAGCCAACCCCTGCACGGAAGAGGCACGCCAGACAAGGGCCGTCAGCATCCTCTCCCAAGACAGCTCAGGGCTTGGCAAGAGGCAAGTATGACACACTACCCTGAGTTCCTTGTTATTCAATAAAATACAAACAGGATTTCCTGGGAGGCCATCCATTTTGCAGAGTGTCTTGCTAAATCTCGGTTGGTTTGAGAACCTGATACGATTCATCTTCCAGAGCACAGTGTCCTTCGTGACAGGACAGAGCACACAGAAGAAAAGTGTCCAGATCACCTACTGAGAATAATTTAAAAACAATGAGGGGCTTCAGAGGACCACATCCATCACATACATAAGCAACAGAGTCCAGGGAGATAGCACCCAAGGGACCGAGATCACGTGACCTTCCTACTATTCAGAGACCGAGCATTGCTTGTTTCTTTCAAACGTAGGTCTTTCTGACTAAATTTTTTAATGAGGGTTCCAGGAACTAAGGCCACCAGGGCAATGGCCAGCAGTTTAAAGGCAGTTTCCCAGGAGAAAAGAGCATCCAGAGAAGTGAGGGTGGACAGGATGGAGCCCGTCTGCACACAGATGAAATTATATGGGATCAAACCTGGAGGAAGAAAAGGGAAATCCTGTTACTCTGGGACGGGAAAACGAAGACCAGCAGTGCTTCAGAAAGGTCACCAGTAATTCACAACAGTGACTCCAGTTTCGTATGTGACTTCTGTGCAATTCTGACTGCTAAATATGTCCTCTTTCCCTTCTTCTCTTCCATTCCTTCCCCTCCTTTCCTTGCTTCCCACATACATTTGCCTCATTAAACAAAAGGACTTGAGATGGTTTGCTATATATATATATATATATATATATATATACTACAATAAGATTTAAACATTTTTTTAAATAGAGGAAAACAAAACAAGAATACAATAAAATGAGTGAAGAATAAACAAATTAAGGCAAAAATGCAGAAAGGTCACTCATTTGCTAGAAGTGTCCCCAGATTTGGTTCCGAGTACCCAACAGCCCAAGCAAAGAGAAGCACCAGCATTATGAGTTGTGCAGTATGCCCAAGATAAAAACAAGTTTCTTAGAAGTAGTAGTACTATTTCATACTCTGTATTGTCTGTAAGAAGTCATCAAATCCACTGGATCCCAAAAGTGACTGGTGGCCCAAGAGGCTGACTGTATCACAATCCCCTGGTGAAGCTGTTAAAAACACACCCTCAGGGACTCTGGTCCCCTGGGTCTAGGGTAGAGCCCAGGAACCTGCATTCTAACAGCCTCTCTCAACTCCCACTCCCAAGACTCTGATTGGTTTGGGGCCCCCTGATGATCCACTCCTCTTCTCTAATGGATGATGCCTCAAGATGAGATTCATCAAGGTCATACAACCTGTCAGAGGCAGAACTAGAACCCAGGTCTCTGGAGTCCTTCCAAGCTTCGTGCACCTGGTTAATTACAGGCTGCTAACAGAGACACGGAGGCACTCTCATCTAAAAGCCGGTCTGACAGAATTAGCTATGGTTGATTCTGCTTCGATTTAAGATCTCAGCTTCTCTCAGGAATTCCCTATTAATAGCAACTGCTCAACCACAGAGCTGTCATGTTTGACCCCGAGTCCTGAGTAGTCTTTCCCTCCATTTCTAAAGAAGGTTTAAGAGAGATGACCCTTGCCTTAGGCTTGGAGAAGGTGGGGTGGTTTACTTCCAGTGTGGGGAAAACAATAGTCACTGATTTCACAGGATGTTAGCCATTTTCCCATTCAGATGAAAGTGGTCCAAAGCTCATATTTAGAGAAACACTGCTGTCATCCTAGCCTTGCATTTGGCCAAGTGGCTCACAGAGGGTAAGGAGCTTGCTGAAGGTCATACAATTGTCAAAAAGCAAGAAGGAACTAGCTCTTCCTAAGGCAGATCTTAATGGAAACAGGGGCCAAAATCAAACAGGAAGCCCTTGCTCTGACCTTCCTGCCTCCACCTTCTCTTCCAGCCACAAACCTGAACTCTGCTTTCACTGAGCCCTTACTATAGGCCAGGTCATGTGTTACAGAGATTGCTCTTCTAATCCCAGGGCCTACCACAGTACAAACACACAATAGACATTAAATACAGGTATAGAATGAACAATCCCTAATTTTTCCAGAAGTATTTTTATGGCTTCTCATGTTCAAGCGCAAGTAGACCTGCTATCAGAAACAATTACTTTAGACAAGGCTGGATGATGCTGTCCGTGAGCCTGGCTCACAGAGGCAGGCATGTGCCTGAGACGACTGTGAGACTCAGACTTGCACGCATGTCTTACCGATAAGAACAGAGAAGAAGAACTGCACGATGGGGATGTTCAGAATTGGGGCCGAGAGGTTCAAGAACCAGTTTGGCGTCATAGGGAAAAGTCTCAGAAACAGTAAGAAGAAAAACAGGCCACTTCTGTTCTCTTCCACCTGAAGCCAAAGAAGACAAGGCCATTAAGAAGCAGAAAGAGTCTCCAGCTGGTGAAAAACCTGCTGGTGCCAGGCACTGTTCCAGACACTTTTCATATTCTGTAAGTTTCAGGGCAGAGATCGTTCTCCTCATTTTTAAAATGGAAGTGCCTGGGACTTCCCTGGTGGTCCAGTGGTTAAGAATCTCCTTTCCGAAACATGTATATTATCTAGGGTGAAACAGATCACCAGCCCAGGTTGGATGCATGAGACAAGTGCTCGGGCCTGGTGCACTGGGAAGACCCAGAGGGATCGGGTGGGGAGGGAGGTGGGAGGGGGGACCGGGATGGGGAATACATGTAAATCCATGGCTAATTCATTTCAATGTATGACAAAAACCATTGCAATGCTGTAAAGTAATTAGCCTCCAACTAATAAAAATAAATGAAAAAAAAAGAATCTCCTTTCCAATGCAGGGGGTGCAGGTTTGATCCCTGGCTGGGGAACTAAGATCTCACATGCTGAGGAGCAGCTAAGCCGGAGTTCCACAACTGGAGGGCCCAGGGACCACAACGAAGACCTAGCGCAGCCCCCAGCTCCCCAAAAATGGAGGTGCCTGAGGCTCAGAAGTCAGGAACCTGCCCAAAGACACAGAGCTGGCAGTGATGGAGCTGGAGGCTAAGCTCAGGTCTTCATCTCTAGGAGACATCAATAGGCGCTCTGGAGTCTCCTGCGGCAGAGGAGGAGGGCACTGTGGGAACCCCCTGCACCACACTCCCCTCAGGGCCACACCATGACTTTCTAGGGACCCAGCACTCAGAGGTACCCTCTAGCCTTACCTTCTTCTGCAGCAGGGCCACTTTATCAGGAAAGTATAAGACCACCAGCTGTTTGCCAAAAACACTGGATAGCAGGTAGCAGCCTGTGGCACCCACTGAGGTCAGCACGCAGCACAGCAGAAGGCCCAGCCATGGCCCAAACAAAGCACCGGCTAAAACATTCTGCAAAGGAAACATATGGTCTGCCATGAGGACATCTGCCAGCTGCCAGCCATCTCATCTTGGAGCCTGGGAGGCCTAGGTTCCCTCCTGCTTCAGTGATTTTCCTGGACAAAAAACCCTATTCCCATTGTAAAGAGATGAATGAAAGGTGATGAAAGATCTGGGAACTACAACCCTGGCTTCAGTCTTCTCACCCTTAAAACTGGGAAGAGGATTAAAACCTCAGAGGACAAGACAGAATTAAATGGGAAAACCTGCGTCTAACACCCAGCCTTCCACATGGGCTGTGATAGGTCCTGCAGACCCTGAGGCTCTGGGGAGGCAGAAAGAAAGATCACAAATTATTTTTGCTATTCTAAATGGACGCAAACCATGGATTTCCCCTTAGTTAGACCACATGAACTTTACAGAATGTCTCATTTCTTTGCTTTCGGCAGGAATTACAGATCTGTGGTATGCTAACCCTGGCAGTTTTGTGTTGATCAGATTTCTAGCTGACACTCAAAAAAGCCTGCAATGAACCAAAATGGAAAAGTGAACCAATACTTCCTAAATGCAGTCTGGCTGATAGACACCATCCTGCCAAACACAGAATCCAAGAGAGAAAATAAAAGGGGGACCTGGAAGCGAGAAGGCGGGGATCTCCTCAGCACCTCCAATGTGCTAAGGACTTGACGACATGTCCGATTTAATCCCCAACGAGACCCTGTGTGGTATGGCAGCCTCACCCCACTCTACCAGTGCAATATTAAGTATGGTGCCCAAGGCCACATGAGGAAGAGATAGGATGCACCCCCAGGGAGCAGCTGGCTCTTTGCCCTGCAGAGGGATCAGCTCAAGAGAGAAAGAGGTATGGGGGCAACCCCAAGAGACAGATGGCCTCTGACCCCCAGCACCACACATGTCCCCATCTCTCTTGGCATGGCTATGTTTGCTTTTCTTCCAGTTGCTAACAAAGACACAGCTGAGGTAGATCCAGCCTGAGCTGAATGTTGGGGCAGGAGGGAGAGCAGGACAGAAGGAAGCTTTCAAGGCTGCCTGCTCAATGCCGAAGCCGCTGTGTGCCAGGTGCACCATCACTGTGCCAGCCCTTCTGCACCCACTGGGTCATTTAATCCTCCCACGTAACAACCCCAGGGGGTTACGTAGGCAAGTCTCTGTTCCACAGATGAGGAGGCAGGGTTGGAGAGGTTAAATGGTTGGCTCACTGTTACACAGCTGGGATCTAAACCTCCCCAAAGCCATAATATATATATATACATTTATACCAACCAGCTTACAATGCTGCTGGGAGGACAGCACAAATTCTCCTCTATCACCTGAGATGGCAGCTGGTTAGAAGCATCCAAGAGCCCACGCACAAGCCTGGATTTAACACTGCAGCTCTCGAGAGCCAGGGGGCCGCCTGGAAAACCAGAGTGACTCATCCTCACCACACCAGGGAGGTTTCCCGACCCTCTCCAGTCAAACATCACCAGGAACAACCTGCATCTGTTCATCAGACACTTACGAAGGCACTTCCCTGTGCCAGGCAAACACACAGGCTGTGAACAAGGAACAGGCCCAGCCCTCAAGGAACTCACAGACTAGTGGAGAAAACAGATTTTAAAAGAAAACCAACATGCGGAAGGGGAGAGGTCTCAAGGACGGTGCTCCACAGCTGTCAAATCCTTAGAAACAAAAGCAGCAAACTTGAGAGGAGAGGTAGGCTCTGGAGCTGCGGGGTGGGGGGGTGGGGGGGTGGGAGGGGGGTTCAGACCCCAGCCCTTCCCCCTCCTCGCCTCGTCACCAGGGACAGTAACTTAACTTCTCACCACTCACCTCCTTGTCTGTAAAATGCAGATAACAATGCCCGTTACTGGCTCTTGGGAGAATTAAATAAGGTCGTGCGGATAGAGCAACTAGGACAGTGCCTAACACAGGGAGAGCTATCAACAAACAATACCCACGGTAGGCCGTCCTCTGGACTATAGGCTCTGCAGCCTAATGGCCCCTCTGCAAAGAAGAACGTGGCTTCCTGGGAGGCAGGCACAGGAGGAGGGCAGGATACTGACCAGGAAGCTGGACCCAGGGATGGCAAAGCTCTGTTTGTAGAGGTAGGCACTGCAGAAGAGCAGGAACACGTAGACCTGGTGTTCCTTCCGGTATTCTCGAAGGACCTCGGAGAGTTCCCGCAGCTCAGCCAGGTCCGAGGGAAACCATAGTGACCTGGAGATTTGGAAAAGCAGATGGAAACAAAGAGTCAAAAACAGCCTCATACCTAATAAAGTCACTTGCTGTGTCTTCTTTCCAAAACAGGTTTTTTAATGTGCCCATCATTTGGTCTGCTGGGAACCAGCAGAGATGTGGGGAGGCTAGGATGATAGATGACCTGATATTTATAACACAGCAGAGGCAAGGAGAAGAGCCTCGGTTTGGAAGCAAGGGACTTGGCGTAGCATCTGAACTCTGCTACTATCCAGTGGTATGATCTCAGGCTAGTCGTTGAGCCTTAGCTTCCTTATTGGAAAAATGAGAGGTTAATGGTAGATAATCACTAAGTTCCCTCTTAGCTCTCAGATTTTATGGACTAGTCTTTTTAATAATTTTTAATTGGAGGCTAATTGCTTTACAATATTATGTTAGTTTCTGCCATACAACAACTTGAATCAGCCATAAGTGTATATATATGCCCCCCTCTTGAACTTCCCTTCTACTCCCCACCCTATCCCACCTCTCTAGGTTGTTACAGAGTACAGGGTTGAACTCCCTGTGTTATACAACAACTTCCCATTAGCAATCTATTTTACATATAGTAATGTACATGTTTCAATGCTACTCTCTCCATTTGTCCACCCTCTCCTTCCCTTGCTGTGTCCACAAATTTGTTCTCTATGTCTGCGTCTCCATTCCTGCTCTGCAAATAGGTTCATCTGTACCATTTTCCTAGATTCAGTATATGTGCATTAATACGTGATAGTTGTTTTACTCTCTCTGACATCCTTCACTCTGTATAACAGGCTCTCCGTTCACCCACCTCACTAGAACTGACTCAAATGTGTTCCTTTTTATGGCTGAGTAATATTCCATTGTATAAATGTACCAGAGCTTCTTTATCTACAAACAATAAATGCTGGAGAGGATGTGGAAAAAAAGAAACCCTCTAGCACTGTTGGTGGGAATGTAAATTGATACAGCCACTAAAGAGAACAGCCACTAAAGAGATTCCTTAAAACACTAGAAATAAAACTGCCATATGACCCAGCAATCTCACTACTACTACGCATATACCCTGAGGAAACCATAACTGAAAAAGACACATGTACCCCCAGTGTTCACTGCAGCACTATCTACAATTGCTAAGACATGGAAGCAACTATTCCAAGTCCAATGGACTTCCTAGAAGTCCATTGACAGATGAATGGATAAAGAAGTTGTGATCCTTATAAACTGTTCCTAAGAGGCAAATGAATTAATTTCTAGGCAAGTATTGAATGCCCTGAATTGCCTTCCTTTCCAAGGGCAAACCCTCCCCCCTAAGCTTTAGGCCAAGGACAATTCAAACTTCACACTTCTCCTAAGTTACTAGGTAAAATGATTGCTTTATCAATCACAAAGGAGAAAAAAGCTTCCCTGGGAAAGTGTATTTGTCCCACACCATAATCTTCTTGGTAATATGCCAGGCTTGAAACCAACCCTTCCGACCAGCCTGCTTTTCACCCTGCTTTCTATATGGTCCTCACTGAACTCTGATTCCTGTACAAGGGTTACCCTGTACAAAGGCTACCTTGCCTCTGCCCTCTGAACAACTCTGGAATCCATCAATGATCAATTACATACAAACCCTCCTGGTTCTCATTAGAATGTTTCTCTTACTCTGACACCCCCAGCACAGCCTTCCCAGCTAGAGCAAAACAACAGTCACTGAAAACAGTTCTCCTAATATTCAAACCTAAGTAACATACATCTTCATTATCTTTACAAATAGCAGGCCGGTTTCACGACAAACCGGCCCCGTAAGTATCTGTACCGCCTCCTGCCTAACACTGTGGGTAAGTAAAAGGAAAAGCTGAGCCAACCAAGAAGAGACAGTCGATAACTAATTAGTGAATAATTTAAAGTTGTCCATCAACGTTTTTCCTCAAGCCCGATATGCCTTCAAGTCCCAAGGGCCGATTTAACCAGAAGTGAACTGGAGAGGACGAAGGAGGGAGACTGAGAACCGGCTGCGGGTCCACACCGGGGCGAAGGTGGGATGCAAATAGGGGTCAGGGATGGGCCTGGCAAGGCGACGGGAACATCGCTCAAGAGGCGACCCAATGTGGGGAGCAGAGGTGCTCTAGCAGGATCAGCCCAAAGTAAGGCGCCGCGTTTCCCTCCGCAACTAAAAGGAAAAAAAAAAAAAAACCAGAAGGCACCAGACAGCACTCCCGCGCGGCCGGCAGCACGCAGATTCCAGCCAGGGCCAGGTCCCGGTTCCAGTTCACGCGGCCTGCCCAAGACCGTGTAGACGCGGCCCGACCTCCAGTCCCAGGACTGAAGCCCAAATCCCGGCCTCCGACGCCTCCGATCCGGGAACCCGAATCTCCGGTTCCCAGACTTCATCCTCGGACCTGGCTCCCTTCCTCTGACCCGAACCTAGGACCCAGTCACCGCCGCCACGCACCTGTCTCCAGCCTCCTCGGCTGAGACCAGTGTCGACGCGCGAGGCAGTCGCGTGGACAGCAAGTACAGGGCGAAGGTGCTGCCGGCGAAGACCATGAGGAGGCCGAGTAGGGAGTGCATCGCGGCCCCCGTACTGGGACTCGCTGGGCCACGGAGCGTCCTGGAAGTAGTGCCGGGAACCTCGCTGCCTGCCGGCTGCGCCAGCGGAACGAGTTAGCAGACGGACAAGGGCGGGGTCTGCTCCAGGCCCCGCCCCCATCACCAGGCCCCACCCCCGGCCCGGACTCCGTGAGCCACTGGGTCGAGAATCCAGCAGAGGAACCGTCCTTCCTTCTGCTCTTGCTTCTATTCTCGTTCCGTGTGTATATCTTTTTTATACGTTTATCTCTGTCTCTTTTCTCCACTTATTTGCTGGGTCCCTGCCAGGCGTTAGGACCTTCGGGGTGAATCAGGAACCCAGACCACAGCAAGCTTGCAGTTTAGTGGTCAAGATAGGCTTGTTGACCACCAGCTGAACCAGAGGCTCCAGTCCTGTGCGGTGGGATAATCAAAGCGATCACGGAAATAAGGAGAATTTCTTTTTATTAAACTCCTACTATATGTCCATTATCCCTAATCCTCACAACAGTTCTGCAAGATTGGGTTTTTGTCTTTATTTAACAGATGAAAAATCCAAGTCTCAGATTAAGTAATATCCCCCAAGAGAGCCACGATCAGAATCCAAGTCACCCTGGGTCCAAAACTAGTGGTTCTGTACTGCGTGGATTCATGGAAGAGGTGGGGTTTGAGTTTACCTTAAAGGATGAGCAAGATTTCCACAACCAGAGACAGGAAAGAGGTGAATGGGGGACACCAGGAAGGGACTAGCGTCTAGTTTCTGTGAAGCCTACAGGGGTGAGAAATAAGTGAGAAGGTGGAAACAAACTGGAAAGCATAGAAGAGCAGCTAAGGAGTTGGATTTTTTTTTTTTTAATATTGTACATGAGGAGACACCAACAGAGGTGTTTAAGCAAGAGAATGATTTAGTTCCCATTTTAGGATGTTTTCTCTGGCAGATGATTAGACTGCATTCTGAGTTGGTAGCTGATGAGAAAGGTTGCAGGCCTGAGCCAGGACCACAGTAGTGGGGAAGAAGATGGACAGACTGGAAGAGTTGAGTTGGTAGGACATGGCTAATTAAATGGAGAATGACAGAGAGGACTCCAAAATGTCACAAGCCTGGACAACAGAAACATCCTTGTCATGTCATTCAAAGCTCCTCTTGGGCTACGTAAGGAGCACCTGTCTGAATTCAAAGTGTACAAGGTCCTAACAAGCCCAAGTCCAGTAATTTAACCCATAGATAGGCCCTTAAGCAGACAAAGATGTTATGTTCAAGGGTATTCTGTCGGTTTTGTTTTGATATGAGGATATTGGGAACAACCCAAATGCCCATCATTTGGGGACTATCGAGGTTAATTATGGTATATTCACAAGTAGAACAAATTCTAAGCCACTTCCTGAAAAAAGGGAAGCAGCTCTGTGTATCCAGATACAGTACAGTAGCCAGATAGATGGGTAGGATAAAAATCAAACAAGTTGCAATGTTAGACTATATTATGACTCATTTGTAGGAAGAAGAAAAAAGATATATTTTCAAAATTCTGGGCTCTGCATGAAGGAAATGAAACGACTCAATGTCTGGGATTTGCGTCAAAATAATGGGATGGGACTGTAGTAAAAATATAAACAAAACAGGATTGGCCATTGAATTGATAATTGCTGAAGCTGGGTGATGAGTGCAGGGAGGTGGATTTTACCATTTTCCCTATTTCCATGTATGTGCAAAGTTTTCCATTTTAAAACATGTGTGGGACTGTTCTCAGTCCTCCATTCTTTTCTCCCTTCAAATCTCCCATTCCAGCTGAATACACATGGTGTTAGTTTGTGCCTCTGACAACACTCTTCTCTGGCAAACTTCTCTGCCTGAAAACTCCTACTCTTTCATCAATACACAGGACAATTGTCACCTCCTCTGAGAAGCCTTCTCCAGCTCCTGCAGTCCAAAAGGTTGTTCCTTCTCTGTGCTTGGGGCTGCCTGTGAAGTGTCTTTATTCCTGCGGTTGCCTACACTGTGCTCCAGCATCGTCGCCCATCTCCCCAGGAGACAGTGAACACTTCTGTAAATGAGACAAGGTCTCACCATCCCGTGTCTGTCCCAGCCCTTAACCCTGTGCCTGGCTTATCACTGGCACTTAATAGAAAGAAAGAAAGTGAAGTTGTTCAGTCATGTCTTGACTTTTCATGACCCCTCTGTCAATGGGATTTTCCAGGCAAGAATACTGGAATGGCTTGCCATTTCCTTCTCCAGGGACTCTTCTCTACCCAGGGATTGAACCCAGGTCTTCTGCACTGCAGGCATGCTCTTTACCGTCTGAGGGAAGCCCAAACTAAAGAAGGTCCCACCAAGATTTGAACTCAGATCGCTGGATTCAAAGTCCAGAGCGCTAAACATTACACACTTAATGATAGTTGGTTAAATCAATGGATCAGGCCTAGGGAGGACACGACTGGTTGTTTGGTTTGAAACATGTTGACTTTGAGAAGTCAAAAGAATATAGGTGGAGAGAAACTGAATGAATAATGATACTGAGCCTGTGCCAGGAATGTGCAGAGCAGAGAACAGGAAGAAAAGCTCCTGTTCTCAGGGCTTCACTTTGCCTTTGGTTGGGGGAGAGTATGGAGAGTTACAGAGCATGATATTGCTACAGAGGAAATGATGTGGCCAAGCTTCCAGAAAAGCACATATCATCATCCCTTTTATGGATGATGGTTGAGCAGGTGTTCAAGATGGAGTCACTTTAAGGGTTGATGAAGCCCAGAGCTGTGAGTGTTGAGCAGGACTGCATCTTAAACATAGGTCCCTTCCAAGCCCATGCTCCTTGCTCCGCCTGGCACTGGCACCACCTCTCAATGCACAGGTGAAAATCCAGAGCTTTGGCTAAACATTCATACGTTCTGTCTAGAGGAGACAGTTGAAATGGGAGGTCTCTAAGGGAGACCATGAGAGGGAAAGTAATAGCAGCTGACATTCATTGAGTCTAGGCACAGCTGACCCCACAGGACACCTTTTACACACATGAATCTATTTATCATATCATGAGGCAGGGGCTCTTAAAAGCCCCCACCTTACAGTCCAGAGAAGGGAAACTTAGGCGAAGAGAATTCAGTAGACAGAGGTCTCTTCCCAGGAGATAACAGACCCTACCTGCTTACTCTATACTGCCTTTTGCAGAAAAGACGGAGATCAGAAGCCTGATAAGGAGATAGTGGAAGCAGTGAAAGAGAACAAGATAGCTTATTCAGGGATGTTGGATGATCGAGAGGGTGGTGGGGAAGAGTACCAAGGGCCCCAGAAAGACCGTTAGAAAGGGACCAGTGCTCAGTGTCAGAGTCCATGGAAAAATACAACAGGGAGACCTGAAGGATTGTGGGTCTTAGCCACCACCAGGTGGAAAGGGACTTTTGACAGCTCATTTGGAAGACACAAACCTAATTTCCTACAGGCTCACTGCCCAAGCCTCTGCTTGCTGCTCCTGACCTATCCCCCTTGCCTCCTGTCCTGATTTCTCCTGCTCAGCCCGTCTGCTTTGGGGAAGAAACCCTGGACTGTGCTCCCCACTACCAGCCCAGCTCCAAAATGATCATAGTCTCCCTTCTGGCCCCCAGCCCAGCACCTGCAGAGCCAGCGGCAGCCTGTAAAGCACAGCAGCAACCCCCCACCAGGGACATGTGTTGGACTGGGAAGCAGGTCAGGGGTGATGGTTCAGGGGTGGGAAGGAAGAAAAGCCAAGAGGCTCCAGTGAGAATGAATTAGCCCGTCACTCCCTGTGGCTCTTTGTCTTAGGGCTCACCCTCCTCTTCTGGCTTAACTGGATCTGCTCAGAACAATATAAAGGAGTAGCTCTAAAAAAAAAAAAAAAGGAGTAGCTCTGATCAGACCACATAGCTTTGCATCCCCATTCCTGCTCCAACCACCACCAATGAGAAGAGGATGGACACCTGCCCCAAGAGGAAGACCCAAGGGCCAAGTCCTCTCCCTGGACTTTGGAATTGGACCACCTAGTGAGTGGTCCCAATGATCCCAAGGACCCCAGTGACCCACAGCTGCCCTGTGGAGTGGGTGGAGTTGATGCAGAGGGACCTATGGCAGAGCACAGGGTTAATAAAGTCCCATGGACTCTTGTTGCTGAAGGCTCCAGCATGGCCAACATCCCTGCTCTTCCTGATGTCTGATGGTTCAACCCTCTCTTGGGTTCCACAAGTCCTCTTTCTAATAAAATCCAGGCTAATATGAGTGGATTTCTGCTACTGGCATCCCAGTCAGGAATGAGAACACAGGATAGGGGTCTGAGGGTGGGAGGTTTTGGAAATAAGTATGTTGATGTCTAAACCAGAATGGAGGTGGCTCCCTCAAGTCCCTGAGGACAAATCCACTCTATTCTGCTCAACAGACATCGGTTGGGCACCTGCTTTGTGCCTGGCATTGTTGTGGGTGCTAGGGCAGCAAAGACAAATAAGCAGTAACTGCTCTCGTGGTGCTCACAGCCTTGGAGGATATGCCGACATGGAAATATATTACCATATGGCTGAATAGCAGCAGCGCCAGTAGCACATACAACATTGGTGGCAGAGTGGGTGGTAGAAGAGAGCCGTGGAAGAGGAAGCCTAGCTCAGGGTCACCCAGAAATGCCTGAGGATCCTGGAGGGCTTTAGCTGAGGTGCAGAAACAGGGGAGTGGGCAAAGGCAAACTCTCCTTGGCTTCAGGATAGGTGAGCTTTCTGCAGGATAGTATTGGGATCACCTGAAAGTTGTGATGAGGAGTGAAAACATGAGCCAAACTCTCTCTCCCAGGAAGCCTGCAAAGTGGGCAGTGGACCAACAGAGACAAAAGAGATAAGAGTAAGAAAGGTGCCTGGGAGAGAGGTCTAAGACAGAGAAGGGTGGGCACCCCCAGAGAAATGGGCTGGAGCTGGGGGTGGAGGACTGATCCTTCCTCACAACTAAGCATGACTCCATAGGGCTTACAAGATAATGGACAGTGTTCATTTAATATTTCCTGAGCACAGAATACATTGTAGGCATCACACTAGGCACATGGCCTGTGCCTGGCAGATCATTCTAGTGGAGAGGACCGACATTAATCAGATAATCATACACATACATGTTAAAAAAAAAAAAAACATAAAAATGGCTATGGAAGGAGAGGTCCAGCAGGCTCTATGGAAAAAAGAGGCCTGGGGACGCTCCCCTGAAGACCATCCAGTGAAGTAAGAGATACTGGTGAATAGAAGAGGGGACAGGGTAGGCTACAGTTTAACTGCATCTTTGGCTGGGGATTCAGTCAAATACACTGACAAAGAGATGGGAGAGAGGCAAGGATAACTGGAGACAGTCAAAAGTTCCAGGGGCCTGGGAAGAAAGATTCTGAGAGTGGTCACACCTGTGACAGCCTTCATTTCACCTGATCACTATTACATGAAACTCACTGAAATCCACCTCCACTCCAGGGACCAAACTTCCTTCATTTATTTATTTGTTCATGCATCCTCCCACTCCACAGTGAGGTGGGCACCGTGCTAGCAGATGCCAGGAGAAGAAACTCAGAGAGACCCACTGGCCTGAGGAGCTTATAAATCAATAGAAATGCTGTTCCTGGCATTTTTCTGCTGTTGTTTTGATCCCCTGCTTACCAAGGAAGGCAAAAAGGATGAAAAAGTAACTATGCTAATCAGAATACAGGACCAGTAAAACTCTAAAAAGAAATCAGAGCCTATGAGCACCCAGATCTCTGAGGCCACCTCTGCTGGAAACATGGGAGGGAGGACGGCTGATAAAATGTCTAGGTGGGCAGGAGAATCGCTGAGCCTTCCTCCTTCCAGAGTTCAGATATTCGCTGCAATCATCACACACTTCAGTGGAACAGACTCTGGATTTGCTGTGTATGTATAAATAAAGATAAGACGTGCCACACAGAATATTTACAGAGTTCCATCGTTTATGAAACAGAGATTCCATTTAAGACTGTTCTCACAGAAAGCAGTTGAAGAGCAGTCATTTGAAAGGGGAAGAGGCTAGTGGACCTGTGACTCTAAGGAAACTTCCTGCAGTGGCCACAGCTGGGGGAGGGGTTTTGTCCACCCTTTGGCTCTGTCTCCATCCTGGGCATCTGCTCAAGGATCACCCTCTCATGGTTCTGACCCCTCTGACCTTGGCCCTTGGGGGACTTCTTGACTTGGTTGTTGTCATTCCAGATTCATATATCATGCCTCTTCCTGGAGAAACCTGAGAATTCCTCAGACTGGAAGCTTCAGATGCTCCAAGAGCAAATCAGTTAGTGCTTTGAATTCACATGTTAACAAACAAGTTATTTAGCATCACTCCAAAAGAGTAACACAAATTACCTCTAACTATGGATGGACTATGGATGGATGGTTGTTGTTTAGTGGCTAAGTCGTGTCCAATTCTTTTGAGACCCCATGCACTATAGCCTGCCAGGCTCCTCTGTCCATGGGATTTTCCAGGCAAGAATACTGGAGTGGGTTGCCATTTCCTTCTCCAGGGGATCTTCCTGACCCAGGGATTGAACCCACATCTCCTGCACTGGCAGGCAGATTCTTTTTCACCCCTGAGCCACCGGGGAAGCCCTGGGACTATAGATAGCATATTTTCATTTTGCATTTGTGCATTTCTAAATTCCCTTCAATAATTACAGATTACATTGGTAAAAAAGAAAAAACATTTCTTAAGTATTGCTTAAAATGAGGGTTGCATGTAAAGTGATGCTTCTTCACCTTAAGTGAAAAACAAGCTCCACTTCCTCTCTCCTGCCTCCTGCCCTATCCCTTCTCCCTTTGAGCAGGGCTTCCCCTCTGTTTCATCTGCTCTTCTTCCCTCATCCACTTACTGTCTAGTCCAAGCAGCTGCCCTCTTGGCCTGTCCCTACCTCCTCCTGCACTTACCCACTTTAAACAAGGCAGGAAGCCAGGGGTATGGTTTTCTGCCTTTCTAAAGCAAATAGCTTAAGAGAGAAGCTGGTGTTGATAAGGAGAAACTCTCTTGTTGCACATTAGATAAGTGGTATCAAAATAAATAAAATCATATTCACATTTATCAAGCCACTCACAGAAGTGGCACCCAGGGGATTTCAAAGAACCCTTCAAAGCCTTGCATTCCAAGCCCACATGAGAGCCCTGTGAGGTAGGTCTGCTTCCATCCCCTTCTTTGTGCAGAGCCTGGAAGGATCTGGCATGGGGAACATGTAGTCAAGTCCAAAGTGAGGCCTCCAGCCAGTCCTTCCCTTAAGATGCTTGGATGGCCACTGTGATGGGCAGAACTGCCCGAGTGACAAGCAGCAGAATCGACAGATCGGAACAAACGAGGCCCCAGGACACAGCCTAACACGGTGCTGGGCCGTCAGGAACCTAGCTATTTCTGATTTGCCCTACTTAGAGAATCCCTTCCCAGGACTGTTTCATAATCCAAGGTTGTTTGACATTTTGCAGTGTGACATCCATAGGACATTACTGTAAAAGAAAAAAAAAAACAACAGCCCTGGTTATTCCATACTTTTTGTGGCTTGAGGAAAAGATGAAATGAAGCTGTAAAAAGCCTGCAGTTGTAGCATTCTTGATGTTACTGGTACTCAGGTGTCCTGACAACAATTACATTTGCAGCTTTGGGCAAAGAATAGGTTGGAAGACTGTTTCAACATTTTCCACCAGTACAAGATCATACCGACACAACTGGGGCCTATAAAAACAAAATGAAATATCCCTGTCAATGCAATGATAAAAATACCCTATTCTAGTAGAGTAAATTGTACAGTCTCTTTCAGATATAAAATTACTTAGCAATTATTTTTAACGTTCTAGGAAAATGCTTGCAGTAAATAAGCAAAGTCATAGAAACAACAGTAAGTAAAGTAACACAACTTTGTAAAGCAACTATATGTCAATAAAAATTAAAAATAAGAAATCATGGTGTTAAATTTTATTTACCACATAATTTCAACTAGATTAAAAAAATAGAAAATTTTAAAAATTAAGCAAAAATTTTAACACTGGTTGCCTCTGAATAATGACATTATGATATTCTTCTTAACACTTTTTGTACTTTTCAGATTTATAAAATGAATATGTATTCCTTTGATAACCAGGAAAGAAGTATTAAAAGGCCCCAGTTTGGGGTTCTCTGGTGGTCCAGTGGTTAAGAATCCACCTGCCAATGCAGGGGACACAGGTTCGATGTCTGGTCCAGGAAGATCACACATGCTGTGTGAGCAATTAAGCCCATGGGCCTACAGCCCATGCTCCACAACAAGAGAAGCCACCACAATGAGAAGCCTAAGCATCACAACTGGAGAAAGCCCCTGTGCAACAACAAAGTCCCAACATAGCCAAAAATACATAAATAAAAATCTTTTTAAAAAAAAGTTCCAGTTTCAAGATATAATGACTATCCTTGGGGAGTAGCAGGGGGTGAGACTTGTATTATTAAATGTTTTAAAGTATCCTAAACATTTCAGGAAAAAGGAATTTATAAATGTAAAGCAATAACTGCTCACATCATTTTCTGTCTCTTCGTCCACAGGTTGACTACCAGGACTATATGCTAGTGTGGCATCACTCACAAAACATACATACCATCACAGCTTTGTTCTTTCTCCCCCTTTGTCTTTGCCTCTCTCTCTGTACACACAAATACACCCTTTATTTTTTCTGAACCGACTGAGAATGGGTTGTTTACCCCTTTAACACTTCAGCGTGTATTTCCTAAGAACAAAGACCTCCTCCGTGCAGTTATCAAATTTATTGTTGATATGTACTTCTATCCTGTATCAATGCAATAAAATATTTCAAATTTTCTGTACCTTTTTTAATGCTGGGCTGTGTTTTATCAGTTTGCCAAATTATATGAGGCTTTCTTTTCTACAACAGAGTATCAGCTGGCAAAAAACATGGGTGGAGTACTAGGGAAGAATTGTTTAAACATATAACAACATTATTTCTTTGGATTATTGGCCCATTTATCTTTAAGTGCATACCAGTAAATTCTTCTTGGATTACTGGGCAACTTTTCTTTTAATATTTATTTTTAATTTATTTTTATTTATTTGGCTGCTCTGTGTCTTCATTGCAGCATGTAGGATCTAATTTGCTGACCAGAGATGAAACCCGGCCCCCTCAAGCCCCCACTGTGAGAGTGGACCTCAGCCATGGACCACTAGGGAAGTCCCTAGGAAACTTATTTAATCAAATCTAGTTTTGGAAAACCCCTCACTTCTTTCATTGTGATTACTGAAATCCTGTTGAAACAACAGACCAAGCAGATTGGACAGGAGTCAGTTATCTATGGAAAACAAGAGTCTGTCAGACCCTGTCTCAGCTTACCTCTCTGGATGGCCAAGTGACCTTAACTTCATTCGGAGAATCCTGAGCTTGTACCTTGGGCCAATTACAGATCCTGTAGAGAACACCAAGGAAATGGCTGCCACTTTATCCAGATCTTGATTGAATCTTGCAAGCAGGCTCACTTGGTGGTATTTCTGAAATGTTGCAGGTTCACTGGAAGGAGAAAGAATATATTTTTAAGTGAATCTAAATTACTAATGAAAAAAAAAAACAATTTAAAGCCTACAGATCACTCATTAGCAGGTAGCCATTTGACCCCATAGCCTGCACTAGCTGACTTTCCTGAGCAATGTCTGTTGGATTGCAAAGGATCAGCATAAGTGAAGCTGCTGATTCCAGGACTGATGAAATGCTGTGACACTGGAAAGGTGTGTGCTGCCTACCTGCTGTAGGCCAGACAGCCTCCTAGTCTCTTGACACATATCTCCAGTCCCCTGCAAAATTCTGCAAGGTATTACTGTCTTTATTTTACAGACAAGGAAACAGATGTTCTCAGAGCTTAAGCTCACCCAGGTCACAGGGCTTATCTATAACAGTGCAGGAAGAAAAACTCGGCTCTGGCTGAGTTCAAAATTATGGTTTCTCCGTTGAATTTCATTGTTAGGTGCATAGGTATATTTTTTAGCCAAACTACATACTAATTTAGAAGTTGTGCTTAAGCATATATTTTTTCAGTTCTGCCTCTCAAGGGTAACCTCAAATTAAAATAGCTACATCATAGGTTCCAATAATTTTTTCTAAGTGTGTGGAGATGTTTCCTACAATTGGAATCCCAAATTGAGCCTAAGGTGTGTCCAAAGGAGTTTTAGCTGGGTACCGTCCCTCTGAGGAGCTGGGAGAGGAGGCTATGGAGAAACGATTGCTCCAGAAACGAATCCTTAGTTTGGATATGGAGGTGAGGAGGTGTTCATCACCCCAGCCTCACTGCCAGTCTTGTGAAAAGCAGAAGTGCTACACATAGAAATAATCTAAAAGGTTGCCCAGATTTTGGTTTTTAAACACCATCTCCACAAAAAAGGAACCAGGGCTCCCTGGAGAAATGGTTGATTTCAGGGCTAGGGCAGGGAAAGCACAAAGTGATCCTAGAATGATATGTATGTCAAAAAGTAAGAAATACTCAAAGAATGATAGAGCTGTTCAAAAGAATATGGAATCACTTCAAACCCATTAGGATGGCTACTGTAGGAAAAAAACAAAATAAGTGTTGATGCAAGTATGGAAAAATTGGAACCCTTGTACGTATTGGTGGGAATGGAAAATAGTACAGCCACTATGACAAACAGTATGAAGGCTCCTCAAAAAATTTAAAGTAAAACTACCACATGATCCAACAATTCTACTTCTAGGTGTATACTGAAAAGGATTGAAAGCAAGGTCTCAAACAGATATTTGCACACCCATGTTCATAGCAGCATTATTATAATAGGTAAAAGGTGAAAGCAACTCAAATGTCCATCAATGGATGAACAGATTTTTAAAATGTGATTTGTACATACAATGGAATATTATTCAGTTTTACAAAGAAAAGAAATCCTCTCACATGCTACACCATGAATAAGCCTTGAGGACATTATGCTAAATGTAATAAACCAGTCACAAAAAAATAAATATCACTTGAGTCCACTTATATGATGTATCTAAAGTAGCCAAAGTCATAGAAACACAAAGTAGAATGGTGGTTGCCAGAGAATAGGGGAAAGGATAAATAGATGTTATTTAATGGGTATAGGGTTTCAGTTTTGCTGCTACTGCTGTTTAGTCACTAAGTCATGTCTGACTCTTTGGGACCCCATGGACTGTAACCCACTAGGCTCCTCTGTCCATGGGATTCTCCAGGAAAGAATACTGGAGTAGATTGCCATTTCTTTCTCCAAGGGATCTTCCTGACCCAGGGATCAAACCCTCATCTCCTTTCTTTACCACTGAGCCACCTGGAAAGCCCTAAGTCTCCCCTAATAAAATAAAAATCCAGGAATCCATATTGATATAAACCAAGAAATGAATAAATAAGTGAGAAGAGAATGCCTTTCTGAAACACTGAATTAGAAAAATCACCATATGGCAGCCATCAGAGTAATAATTCAACCATGGAACATTAAAACTAGTGGGTAAAAGTTAGAGGAGTAATGGACAATTTACACGGTCTCAAAGTACCCAGCCACAAATACAGTGGAGAAACTTGGCAGAAATCACCTTAATCAACTGATCCACATTAATGAAACAAACCAAAATTGTGAGCCTCCTAACAGGATGCACTGAGACAGACATGACATCACCTTTGCGGTGTCCTTGCCAAAGATTCATGACCTGAATCTAATCATGAGGAAACATCAGGGAAAGCCAAACTGAAGACATGCTAAAAATAACCGACCTGTAATCCTCAAAAGTGTCAAGGTCAAAAGAGTTGAGGAAAAGCAGAAGAACTGTTCCAAAGTGAAAGCTAAAGAAACAGGACTACCAAATGCAGCCAGGGATCCTGAACTGAATCCCTTTGCTACAAAGGATGTTTATTAGAACAATTAGTAAAACTAGAATGGGGTCACAGAATCAGCTCAGTTCAGTCACTCAGTCATGTCCAACTCTTTGCGACCCTGTGGACTGCAGCACACCAGGCCTCCCTGTCCATCACCAACTCCCAGAGTTTACTCAAGCTCATGTCCATTGAGTTGGTGATGCCATCCAACCATCTCATCCTCTGTTGTCCCCTTCTCCTCCCACCTCAATCTTTCCCAGCACAAGGTCTTTTCAAATGAGTCAACTCTTCACATCACGTGGCCAAAGTGTTGGAGTTTCAGCTTCAACATCATTTTCAGTGAACACTCAGGACTGACTTTCTTTAGGAAGGACTGGTTGGGCTCTCAAGATTCTGCTCCAACACCACAGTTCAAAAGCATCAATTCTTTAGCACTCAGCTTTCTTTATAGTCCAACTCTCACATCCATACATGACAACTGGAAAAACTATAGCCTTGACTAGATGAACCTTTGTTGGCAAAGTAATGTCTCTGCTTTTAAATATGTTGTCTAGGTTGGTCATAACTTTCCTTCCAAGGAGTAAGCGTCTTCTAATTTCACGGCTGCAGTCACCATCTGCAGTGATTTTGGAGCCTCCAAAAATAAAGTCTGCCACTGTTTCCACTGTTTCCCCACCTATTTGCCATGAAGTGATGGGACCGGATGCCAAGATCTTAGTTCTCTGAATGTTGAGCTTTAAGCCAACTTTTTCACTCTCCTCTTTCACTTTTATCAAGAGGCTCTTTAAGTCTTCTTCACTTTCTGCCATAAGGGTGGTGTCATCTGCATGTCTGAGGTTATTGCTATTTCTCCCAGCAATCTTGATTCCAGCTTGTGCTTCATCCAGCCCAGCGTTTCTCATGATGTACTCTGCATATAAGTTAAATAAGCATGGTGACAATATACAGCCTTGACATACTCCTTTTCCTATTTGGAACCAGTCTGTTAGTTCCAAACAGGATCAGGATCAGATGGTAGCAATAGATCAATAGTATTCTCTTATTCTGATGGTCAATTGTGGTTATGTAGGAGAGGGTCCTTACCTGTAGAAAACACATAATATGGTACTTTGGGTTGATGAGCCTGCATGTTGGTGACAACTATAGAATGGTTCAGAAAATGAAAAGGCTCATAGTACTACTGAAACTTTTCTATAAACTTTAATTTTTCACAATAAAGAGAAAAAAAAAAAACAATAGGAAAGGAGTGGATTAACCTAAACGGGTTATAAACAGTTTAACTCTGGTCCTCTCTTGATCAGAGTCTAGCAAGGGAGAAAGGCATCCTTCCCACTTCTCCAAGGAAGGGCAACTGTGGAACCAGGAAAAGGTAGAGACTCCAGGGGAAGGTGATGCCACGTGCAGATGGCAGAATATAGTGGGGGTGCTAGGGAGGCAGGACAGGAAAAAGGAGACCTGGATCTGATCAGGGTTGTCTGTGAGCACAGGTAAGATGCCCTCTTCCACCCAGAGGGATGTCTGGAGATACACAGGGGGCACTAACCAAGGTTGGGTTCATACAAGAATAAATAGAATAAGAGCCAATGAACTATGGGTTCTGGCAGTATGGTGCACTAAATACCCTATAAACAACTCATAAGAATAAATACAATTACAAACAACAACAACAAAAGTTGAAAACCTTTTAAATTGCATTGAACTAAGAAGAAAGGAAAGAATACTGAGAAACTCCCAAAATACATGAAAGCAGAAATCCAAATAGATAAAAGGAATACTGAAATCACCCTAGGTTGGTTTTTTTGGAACTTAGAAAGCTTGAGCTTCGATATTCATGGCCTTGCAGCTCAGTAGGACATGAAACAAAGTCTATGGGCCCCTTAAGGTCAGGAGTTGAATAGGAGACATCTGGGGGGAAGAGTGAACTAAACATGAATTTGAAATAAACCTTCTACCGCCTCAGGGGACAGAAAATTCCCTGCCTCAAATCTTGACACTATGAGAAGCTAAGATGCAGATTGCTTTTCACGTGGGTCAGCAGTTCCACTTCGAACTACTTGTGGTCCGAGAAACCTCAGGTTTAAAAAAGTAAAGCCGTCCCAGATAGATGCTATCTCCAGGAACTAAACTGACGCAAACACAAATCCCTTCTATAGACATCTACTTCTACTCAGATCCTCAAAGAATTCCCACACATAGTAAAATAACTAGAATAATGATAAAGGCATTTGAAAGGGAGCGGGGAAAGGCACAGGTTTTGGGCCTTATGACCGCTAGCTGCAGGCAGAAGGATGCAGGCGGGAGGATGCGCAGGTGCCCTGGGTTCTGACTGGCGGGGCGGCAACAGCCGCCTGGTCCACACGGTGCCTGTGCAGCAGCTGCAGGCAGGAGGCTCCTCCGCCAGGCCTGGGTGCGAGTGAGGAGGCCCCAAGGGAGGAGGCGAATAGAAGGCAAGTGAACGCAGGGTTTGGGGACCCTGAAGCGATCTTCCCAGGGGAACCGCGTGCTCCAGGCAGAACTGGGGCACCCCCTGCTCTGCAGGCAGGGGGCAGGCAGCCCACCTGCCCGTCCCCCCTGCACCAGACCTTGATGGACCCAGAATGCTAACTGCAAAAAGAAACAGGAAAAACTACAAAAGATCAGAATGTTAAAACCTACCAAGATTTCTCAGAATTGTCAAAGA